ACCTGTCCGTTTAGGTAAACTAGGTTGTATAGTTTAAGTAAAGTTTGGAGTAGTTTGGTAGGTAAGTGCTTGATTATTTGGTAAGAGGTGAGGTCTAGGCCAGGGGCTGTTCCTTTTTTTCTATTGTTTAGTAGTCATGTTAGTCAGTTTCAAGTATCTATATACTAAACCTAGCCATCTCAACTGTAAATCGTCCATCTCAGTTTCTCAGTGTAATAATTGTTTCTTCCTATTGTTATTTTTGTAATTTTTAAAAATTGTCTTCTCATCATATAGGCATCTTTCATTACACTTACATTATTTAAAAAAAAAAAATTCCCCTAGTCCCCTAAAGCTATACCCCTTTCATTTCTACTACCTCTACTCCAGACCTTAATCTCTCCTTTAGGTGAGTTCATAATACCAGACAGGTAAATGCCGCGTGTTGTTTTAACTAATTGTAGGGGAACTAGGTTGTAGGGGAAATGGGATGTAGGGGTTTTGGGAGATAACCTCATCAACACAGGCAAGCAGGTGATCCTGTCAACATGGCTCCAATAAATGGAACTGTTACCCGCTGTTGTAGCTGGTCATCACAAGCCTCCAAGATATTTGGCGGTACAATGTAGTGGCAGAAAATACAGAAGAAATAGGCGACATCTGGACTGATCTACATTTAAAGCACAAATGGGTAACCATGATAACCAACACGGAGCTAGTGCAGCTTCTTCTTATGGACCATCACAAGTGCAAACCTAAACATTCAACTCAGCCGAGTTCGCCCGTGAACTCTAAACCATGTGAGGCGTGACCTAAAAACAGATGAACAGTCTACTCATTTATTCTAGTATAACAGTTAAAGCAAGAGTCATTGCTTACTGATGAAATAAATATTTATTTTGAGTTGTAAAATCATCAAGCTGATACAATTTTATTGTTGTGAAAAGTACACTGATTTGTATTGCAGGTTATTTACTACGTGTATCGTAATCATGGTCTTTACGACATCTCAATAAAGCCAGTCTCCTCGTCTACCCTCACAATTGCGAAAATATCTATTTCGCTGTAAACCACATTGCAGAGGCGGGACATCGTGGTTGGATGGGTGCATGCATGTATGTATGTGTTTCATATTATATGCTCAGAATGTTCTTCTCACATTAAGCAAACGGATGTTTGTTCGATTGTGTTTGATGCAATCTATCTGTTTTTGGCATTTGGTCATACCGATATAATGCTCACATTTCTTGTCCTGGTAGATCGCCTCCGTGGTCTCATGGTAGAGCGTCCGCCCGGAGAGCGGAAGGTCCGGTGTTCGATCCCCGTCCGCGTCATACCAAAAGACGTTAAAAGATGGTACTTGTTGTTACCCTGTCTGGCGCTCGGCATTAAGAGGCTGAAATAAGGACTGGTCGGCTCGGAGTCAGTATACTGTGTCTGAGTGGGATTTTCATGTTAAACTGCGGCATGGTATCTCAGTGAGCTAGCACTATAAATCGGCATCAGTCCGGACTAGTACAAGCAGCCACACACACACACACACACACGTACATGCACGTCGCTATATAAGTGCAATAATCTTAGACGCGACGTTAAACCCCATTTCACCACCTCTTGTCCTGGTAGATAGTTTCCCTTTTGCACGATGTGAGATCCTATATAGTGGCATTTTACAGGAGATAGATTAAGCTTAAAGAATATCACAAGGAAATCCTGAACTCAAAACAATGAAACATACAAGCATACAGGGTAGGTATTTTTTTCTACTTCGTTTGTGTGAGTTTCAATGATTAAGAAAGGTATAGGTCATTTTCCACTCGCGAACTTTCTGGAAGATATATTTTGATTTATAATGCTAAAAAGACATGCACAAATAACCTAATTCTACGCTAAATAAAATCAGTATCGATACGAATATTTAATCAACTGGCACAGTTTCCAAAGCCTTTTACTTCTCCTAGTGATTGGTCACTTGCCCCGGGATAGCATTGCTATCTCACGCTGCAGTGTGAAATTGTATCGTTAACAATATGAGTTGAATCATTTCACTGTGTGGCTGTTCAGGTTCAGACCGGTTGTTGATTGGGTTGAACATTGTTGTTTCTAAGTTTAAGCCGTGAACGTCCAAGCTTTGTTTCGGTTGCACGCTCGTTTTTAAACCGAATGAAAATAACGTCGTTAAATGTGAGTCCCGCAGCGATTCGACATATTTTCGACGTCCCGCAACTGGGACGTGGCTCATACAAGGCTTCCTGATAGCAAAATCGGTGTTGCGACGTGTCGCAAGATTACGATTATTGCTAGTTATTTACGCATATTTGTGATAACGCATACTTTACGATAACATCCTTCATTGATCACTTGTACATAACAATAACATGAGGCCACAACTTTGATCATAACATCTAAATTTATCTTCAGTAGTATTTCATTTGTTTATCTTTAAAAAACTTATATGACATTTGATAAAAAAATAATGATAAAATTTCAATCAAGAGAATTCTCTGAATAATCGATGACGCTACTGGGAAACACCCAGCTTATTTTTCCTCCGTCACAAAAGAGCTCACTGTTCTTAGCTCGATGATAGCGTGTATAACATAATATATTCGTATAGAGAGAAAAAATCACACCCTTCTATATACATAGAGACAAGGAGTGACACCCGCCATCTTGGTTCTTATTCAAGATTTCGCACTCGGTTCGAATCACAGCTCGATATCGCATGGAATATGAATGTCACTTATTTCATCATATTGGCACCTGCTTAACAAACCATAGACAAAGTAACCAACTGACCTTGAGGTCTTTTTTATCAGGGTAGCGTCCGTAGTAGCGTGATTTTGTTTGGGGAGGATATTATATGTTTAAGGGCGAGTGGTGCGTGTCGACATTACCGCGTCTCTCCCTGCACAGCGTACAGCGTTTGTAAAATGAATAATAACGTTCGACAGACCGCCTCGTGTGATTAATTATATTCACAGCGAGAGGGGAAAATAATAACACGATAACAACTGACGCTATTGCAGTGGGTGTCATAAACGCCCACGCTTCTTGTCAAATGAGCGATCAATCGTGCAGTGGCGCTGACGAAGTGTTTTACGTGCGTTATAATTTTTTTGAAGTAACTATAGGGCGTTTAGATGTCAACAATGCATGATCAAATGTGTGAAAAACATTGAAGTGGGGCACCCTTTCTTTCCTGTCTTGCTGCTGCCCAGTCAGTTCACAAAGTGTACTCAGTCGAGAAAGTAGAACATAGAGTACAGGCATCCATGGAGAGAGAGAATGAGACACGGAGGGAAAGAGAGAGGGAGAGAGAGGGGGAGGCATGAAAGAGGAGAAGGTTTGTGTCTGAGAGAAAATGTGTCTTTGTTAGTGAGATATGTCTTTATGAGAGACGACCCGTGAAGATTCCGGGGTAGAATAAGTCTTCAGCAACCCATACTTGCCGTAAAAGGCGAGTATGCTTGTCGTAAGAGGCGACTGACGAGATCGGGTGCTCAGGCTCGCTGACTTGGTTGGAGGATGTCATCGAACCCAATTGCGTGGATCGATGCTCATGATATCAATCCTGGATTGTCTGGTCCAGACTCGATTATTTACAGACTGCCGTCATATAGATGGTATATTACTGAGTGCGGCGTAAAACAACCAACCAAATTTATGAGAGACATAGAGGAATGATTAAATACTAACATAGCACTGAATGTAAGACACGATGTAAGTAGTAGTATATAACAAACAACTGTATTGTCACTAATGTCGCGTCAGCACCATACCCGTGCTCGTGGGTTTCACCGAAGTGGTAAACGTCTGATACTTGCATCACTTCGGGCTTTCCTCCCACATTAAGCTGACACGCCGCGATATAACTGGAATACTGTTACAAGCGGCGTTAAACCCAACTCACTCACTCACTCACTCACTCACTCACTAATGTCGCCTGTTTCTATATCAAGTTTGGTGTCCAAATATATCAGAATCATATACCTACAGGGAAATAACATGTTGGGGAGAAAAGTATCAAAATACAACTGGTATATTTGATTTCATATAGTCTGGAACTACAGAGCAAAATAACGCTCTTTACTCTAACGCCAGGTTAAGTTACGTGTTATTCAATGAAGGCGTGAGGGTATTGTCAAGTATATAAAAGAAACTGTTGACAGTAATCCTCCTGACAAAGGGTCATCTTTCGTGTGTGACGGATTTTGTATGGCGGAGCTTTGTGACTCCAATACACAGTATTATTGCACGTTCTTTCCGCCGCTCGCTCGTACATATTTCACAATGAAAGTTCAATTTATAGACTATGCGTGCGTGCGTGTGTCTGCGTGGGTCTGCGTGTGTGTGTGTGTGTGTGTGTGTGTGTCCGTGTGTGTGTGTGTGTGTGTGTGTGTGTGTGTGTGTGTGTGTGTGTGTGTGTGTGTGTGTGTGTGTGTGTGTGTGTGTGTGTGTGTGTGTGTGTGTGTGTGTGTGTGTGTGTGTGTGTTTATACTTATACCCACGGTTGTTATCAAACTTGGCGATGGGTTAGGCCAGTTGTGAAAGCTTCCGGGTTCGATTCCCGACATGGGAATAACATGGCCCATATCGCCCATATCGCTTTGATATTGGTAAAAACGGCGTCAAGCCTCCCCAACTCACATTTATCGAAGCAATACTGGCCGAGTGAGATGGTGGTTTTCCTTAGTATTTCAGTTCCATCAAAACATAATGTGGAAGGAAAGAGACAGAAGTCCGAACGATCAAAGGGTCAAATCATCGAATACACAATCAGCGAATCTTGGCACAACTAAGGGCCGCAATTCTGCACAGCGAATTGTTGTGCCTCCGTCCCTTGTGACCCGACAAGTGAAGTTAAGAATTGAATTTCAGTTCAGTGTTCAGTCTGGTGTGAACAAGCAAAGATGAATTCAATTCTTGATTTTTCAACTGGAGAAGTAACTCTCAGTCGTTGCAACTGCCTTAATATGAAAATGAATGACCAAGCATTGCCTTACACAAAGTGTTCCTACCTGAGACAAGACGTTCCACAGCTGATGCCGCCTCTGTCGCTACTAGGGTGTGCTTGCCTTTGCAATATGACGTTGTACCTGTGTCCGTGCGGAAACGAAAACTGTGAAATGTTTGTTACATTGTCTTGATATTGACTTTGGTTATTGCCTCTGTTCACTCTGCAGTGAATTCAAAACCTGAGTGAGTGAGGTTTTACGCCGCTTTCAGCAACATTCCAGCAATATCAAGGTTGAACCCATGTCTTCGGAGTGATGAGTAGTATAGTGGTAGCAGTAGTAGTAGCAGCAGAGGCAGCAACAAAAGTAGTAGTAGTAGTAGTAGTAGTAATAGTAGTTGTAGTAGTAGTGGTGTAAGTTGTGAGTGAGTTTGGTTTTACGCCGCTTTTCAGCAATAATCCAGCAATTTCACCACGAGGGACACCACCAATGCGCTTCACGCATTGTGCACATGTCGGAGATCGAAACCGGTTATCTGCGTGACGAGTGAACGCTTTAACCACGAGGCTATCCGACCGCCCCTGTTTTTCCTTGGAACACCTGCTGGCTGAATTTAGCTGCACCACACACTTTTAAGTCCATAGTCATCAGGTTGTGCTTCTCTAATTCATAGTATCGTTTATCTCAACCATGTAATGCGCGCGTGTGTGCGCGCGTGTCATCAGAGGTAACTAAATGGATCGGGTGGTCAGGCCCACTGACTTGATTGATACTACTGCAGTAGTAGTACCGTCGCCACAGAGCTTGAATATTGCTGATTGTGGCGTTAAAAAACAAAGTTGTAGCAGTAGTAGTAGTAGTAGTAGTAGTAGTAGTAGTAGTAGTAGTACATTTTTAAATTGCAACAAATATAAGATATTGTTATGAAAGTTATGCGGGCAAGTTTTCATGTTCTATAACAGTCCTTTTCTTTGTGTCACCTGTACGTGTTGACCTTGTGGTGAAGGCTACAAAGCAGCCAATCATTGAAGACGCCCACCTGGGATGACGTCATCTGACAGCGGGTCATGGGGTCATACTTGTGATCGAAGTGTTGACCAGGAAATAGCAAGGTGATGTCATCAAGACGCCGGGGAACCCAAACATGAAACCAGGAAAATATCAGCGTGCCTCGATGATCCTCCATGAGATTTAATCTAACATTGCCTGATTGTATTACAAACATCCGGGGACAACCGGTAAGCACGCGTTATCACGAATTAGTGGGTAAGGTGATTTACGTCTGAGCAACGGTCGTCTGTAAATATCTGAGTCTGGATCAGGAATGCTAGTTGTATATAACATGAGCAACTATCTTCACAATCAGCCAGGTTCCACATTGTGACCATCCGATCCTCAGTTGTCGATTCTATTGACAAGCATGGTCTCCTAAAGAGCCAACGAATGATTGAAAACTGACAAAAAATAACTGGGAAATAACAATAATATCTCTTAAGCGGCTACACCTGCAGAAAGAGAGGACAGGCCGCCCTGAAATATAGAAATTAGCCATAACAACTCAGTTATATATACAAAATAGGTGAACGAGATTAATGAAAATACTCTTTCACCACTGAAAGCAATGCACTAAGACATGGTTGAGGTTAGGACAGTGAGAAGTACAGACGCTACGCCCACACAAATATGTAGCTTCCCACAACGCTCATAAGGAAAATTGTCATACCCCGGGATAAAAACAAACCGCGACACAAAAGAAGGTGATGCAGGTCAGTCAGACGTGAGAGACGGCAGTAGACTTAACGTACTCCTGATCCTCTAAACATTAACTACCACACAAACCCTTAACTAACTACCTCCTGACTAACTGCCATGCTACATCCTAACTACCACACTACCTCCTAACGAACTACAACACTATCTTAACTACCACACTAACCCTAGTGATTGAAGGAGTGTGGTTTTACGCCGCTGTTAGAACTAGTCCAGCAATATCATGGCGGGGGACACAAGAAATGGGCTTCAGCCATGTGAGGAATCGAACCCGGTTCTTCGGCGTGACAAGCGAACGCTTTAACCACTAGGCTACCCAACCGCCCCGACTAACTCCTACCTTACTGCTCCTACTACCACACTAACTCTTTAACTACCCAAAACATCCCAAATACCACTCTAACTCTTAACTACCCCAGTAACTTCTAACTACAACACTAAACTCCATGAAGTCTTCACTACCCCACCAATCCCCAACCTCCACTCAAACTCCTAAGTACCACACTAACTACACACTGCCACACTAACTACACACCGCCACACTCCCACACTAACTACACACCGCCACACTAACTACACACCGCCACACTCCCACACTAACTACACACCGCCACACTACACACCGCCACACTAACTACACACCGCCACACTAACTACACACCGCCACACTCCCACACTAACTACACACCGCCACACTACACACCGCCACACTAACTACACACCGCCACACTAACTACACACCGCCACACTCCCACACTAACTACACACCGCCACACTAACTACACACCGCCACACTTACTACACACCGCCACACTAACTACACACCGCCACACTAACTACACACTGCCACACTAACTACACACCGCCACACTCCCACACTAACTACACACCGCCACACTAACTACACACCGCCACACTCCCACACTAACTACACACCGCCACACTACACACCGCCACACTAACTACACACCGCCACACTAACTACACTCCGCCACACTCCCACACTGACTACACACCGCCACACTAACTACACACCGCCACACTAACTACACACTGCCACACTAACTACACACCGCCACACTAACTACACACCGCCACACTGCCACACTAACTACACACCGCCACACTAACTACACACCGCCACACCCCCACACTAACTACACACCGCCACACTAACTACACACTGCCACACTAACTACACACCGCCACACTAACTACACACTGCCACACTAACTACACACCGCCACACTAACTACACACCGCCACACGAACTACACACTGCCACACTAACTACACACTGCCACACTAACTACACACCGCCACACTAACTACACACCGCCACACGAACTACACACTGCCACACTAACTACACACCGCCACACTAACTACACACCGCCACACTAACTACACACTGCCACACTAGCTACACACTGCCACACTAACTACACACTGCCACACTAGCTACACACCGCCACACTCCCACACTAACTACACACCGCCACTCTAACTACACACCGCCACACTAACTACACACTGCCACACTAACTACACACTGCCACACTAGCTACACACTGCCACACTAACTACACACTGCCACACTAACTACACACCGCCACACTCGCACACTAACTACACACCGCCACACTAACTACACACCGCCACACTAACTACACACTGCCACACTAACTACACACTGCCACACTAGCTACACACTGCCACACTAACTACACACTGCCACACTAACTACACACCGCCACACTCCCACACTAACTACACACCGCCACACTAACTACACACCGCCACACTAACTACACACTGCCACACTAGCTACACACTGCCACACTAACACCAAACCGCCACACTGCCACACTAACTACACACTGCCACACTAACTCTTAACTACCCAAATAACTCTTAACTACCACATTACCTTCTAATGTGTGATCCACAAAACTCCCAACTTTGAATACATCAATGCACAAGAAACATTTTGATATTTACTGCTTTTATAAACAGAAAATGATGAAAAACAATACAGCAAAAATATCGTACATTATGCAATAATAGTGTTTATCTTTGCAAAATATTTTAATAATAAACGCAACAATGTTTAAAAAACAAAACGCTTTAAATGCAATGTGGTAGTGACTAGGTATTAAACAATCTTCACGGTTGAGTGGAGATCACTCGTTTCTCTTTTACGATCACAGGAGCGATAACAGATGAAATTTAAGTGGTCATTGGAGTTCAACAAGAAAAGGTTGACAGAGAAAAAAACAGAGGATCGTCTCGAATGAACCCACTGATCACAAATGCACTCTGTCCGGGAAGAAACGTTACTGAGCGTTACAGAGAGGTGTCCGGCACACTGCTGCGGCATAGAGAGACTGGCATCGCCTCCGCTGCTTCCCCTCCCAGGTTCGCAACTGCACAAGAGTCGACTCAACCTTTAACCACCACGACATGAATCAGGAATGAGTGTGTGAGTAATACGCCGCTTTTAGCAATATTCCAGCAACATCACGGCGAGGGACACAGAAATGAGCTTCACACAGAAGCAAACCCGCCGTTACACTTAACACAAAATGCATTATTTTGATTTACATCTCATTGTCAGAATGGTGCCTGCGTTCATGGGACCGTATGCTTTACCAATTGATTCGCAGAGGGTAAGTCAGATGAGGGTACAACTTCTTTCTTTCCTTTTTTTTGAGGGCGGGATGGCATCAGGGGGGCAGCTGTACACACGGAGGCGGATCTGCGTGTCCTGCTTGTGCCTGTGTTAACTCTGAATGTGTATTGACTTGAGATGGGGATTCTGTGTATGTCGGTAATAGTGAGATTATTTCCCTTGTCCTGTTTGATTGGGTACCTGTACCGAAGGCATCCTGGTGACATTCGTCCTTGGTATCAATGAACACAATCCGTGAGTAGTGTTCCTGTGTCTCGGGCTTGGCGCTGTCCAGAGTGACCTGTCTGTAGGTGGACATACCACTGTCTGAAGAACATGACCATGTCTCAGTGTGCTCATCACCATGGGAACCATCCTGCAGCCAGGGTGCTTCTGGGGCAGAAGATAGTTCTTCCGGAAGGACCTGGAGTCCCGGAAGTGAAACGTCCATCTCGATATTTCCAAACACATCTGAACAGTCCTGTCTGGGGTGATTGCTAAGTTGGAGAACATGGGGGATGCTATCGGGGGTGATGAATTTGCCTGTGTCTCCTCTGTGGGCTTTGTTGTTGTCTGTGTTAGTGTCGCCCGGGTTGTTTAACAACAGGCCCGCTTCATCTGGCTGTAGGCGCTGCTCCTACAACAGAGTGACGGTGAGTGAGTAGGGGTTGAGCCCACACTGTGAGTGAGGATAGGTAGGCTATGTTCATGTCTACCAAATGGAAGGCCTGAAGTGACCACTTATTGGAAACCCTTGAGCATGAGTATAGTGTTGGAACAGCGTGCGTGAGCGTATGTGTGCGTGTGCGTGTGTGCATGAGTATATGATTATTTATATGAGTGTGTGTGAGAATGTGTATGTGTGAGAGAGTGTGGGTGTGAGAGAGAGTTTGTGTGCATGTGGTGTGTGTGTGTGGGCGCGTGTGTGTGAGTGCGTGTTTGAGAGAGACAGTGTGTGTATGTTTGTGTGTCAGTAGGCGTTCAAGTGTTTGTGTGTGCATGCTTGTTCTGTGTGTATGTGTGAGAGAGAGAGAATGTGTGTGTTTGCATTGTGTGCGTATGTGTCTATACGTGTATTGTGTGTAATATATGAGTGTACGTTTGAGTGTGTGTGTGTGTGTGTGTGTGTGTGTGCGTGTGTGTGTGTGTGTGTGTGTGTGTGTGTGTGTGTGCGTGCGTAATGTTTTCGCTTCTCACGGCTTGTATGTATGTATTTGTGTTTCCGTTCTTACCACAGATATTGAAACCTCATCGTCAACTGTAAACTGCACCAACCTAGGCATGGTAATCGTAAACCGCTTACAAAGAGAGTTCCTGTTGTACAGTCTTACAACGCTGAAAGTGAAAAAGGAGAAATATTAGTTGAACACAGCGTCAAACATAGGGGCCTATAAAGAGAGGGTATATTCTATATTCACATAAGCAGGAAGATGCTTTCTGAAATGAGGTACACCGTAGGCTTGTCCAATTCAGGAATTCAAGTCCAGTGATTGACATCAAGAGCATCGATCTACGCAAGTGGGATACGATGACGTGCATAAACCAAGACAGCGAGCCTGACCATCCGATGCCGTTAGTCGCCTCTTACGACAAGCACGGGTTGCTGAAGATCCGTTCTAACCCGGGTCTTTACGGCTGAAGTTTCGATGGTCAGCACGGGTATGATTATCAAGTTTATGATTAGCATGGGTATGATTAGCAATGGTATGGTGATTCCAAACTAAGGATCACCACGTGTGGGTTTCAAAATAAAGGAACAAAAAGGAGCAACACAATTATTAGACTACGTACATGGCAAGCCCAGCAATAAATATGACAGCAACAATGACGATCAAGACGATGAGCACAGCTAGCATTGGCATATTCTCGTGGACGACTGTTACTGAAATAATATGTTGAGAAGAAGGTGAGGCGAAATAGGGTTCAACGTTAACGTTCAAGATTGCACTTATATAGCGATATGCATTCGTCCGGACTAATGCCGGTTTTATAGTGCTATCCCACTGAGATACCATGCCACAGTTCAACATGAATACCCCACTCAGACGCAGCATACAGATTCCGAGCCGACTCGTCCTTGTTTTAGCCCATAAATGCTGAGCGTCAGACAGAGTAACAAGTACAATCTTTTAACGTATTTTAGTATAACACGGCCTGAGATCGCTATCCGGGCGGACGCTCCACGCACGGAGGCGTACAAGTAAATCAATCAATCAATAAATCAATACAAAAAAATGTCATAAGTATACACAGGGTCGTGCAGATGAAGACGTAACAATTACATATAGTCTTACATTTTGTTGGAGTATTCCACACCAGTTTGGACCTGACGCTGTCGACGTAGTGAGAGACGGCGTACTGCCATTCACACCGACTACACGATACTCTCAGAGGGTCAAGGTTTTTTATTGCAATAGAACGACGCCCTCCTTGGACAAGTTTCTTCTGTATGGCGTTCTGAAGCAAATGACAACAGTAGACAACCAGGTAAGTCTACCTTCGAAGGGGAGAGGGGGCGGGGGGGGGGGGATGTAGATTAACGAAAGCCTAAAGAAGTTAAATATGCTGCGTGAAAGGCCACAATTGCATCACACCATTCATACAATTCGAAAATGTGTTACCAGTTCACCAGGAAATTTCCGGATTAACAAGGTTTCACTGTATAAGTCTCTAAAATATATTTGGAACAGGGCTGAAGATGATAGTATGTTATCGATACCAGATGCCATTGACAACTCCGGACACATCTTAATCTGGACACTTTGTATTCCGGACTGACATGTACAGTAACTACAAGAACGTGTATCTGTGAAAAAAAGTATCTGGATTGTAGGTGTGTCAAACTGCCGCTATCCCTTGCCCTAATATGTGAGTATCGAACTTATTGCCATAAATGCTTTGTATCCCGACGATTCGAGTTAGAACTGGTCTTCAGTAAACCATGAGGCGACAAACGGAATCGGGTGGTCAGGCTCGCTGAATTGGTTGATGTATGATTTTATGTACATCGATGTTCGCGATGTCAATAACTGGATTGTCTGGTCCAGACTCGTTTATTTACATATAGCTGGAATATGACTGAGTGCGGCGTTAAAGAAAAAAAACAAACAAATGCTATGTTTCTTACCATGCATTTCACAAGCTGTGGAAAGCTGTCATTTTGATACCCGAAACACCACGAGACAAAGACGTTGTTCAGGTTTCTTCTTCCAGCGATGTAAGCCCACTCGAGTCTGTGGTTAACCTTGTGTACAGTGTCAACATACTGTACGTCTGTCAACAGATGAATGTTGATATACAGCCTGGTATTTTACACTGATTCGTTTAAAATATGTATATGTCTTTTGGTCCTTGGGTATTTCTGTCAGAAGGAAGACTGTCAGAAGGATGGAAATAAATATGTAAAGCGTGGATTTAAAAAATCTACACGCATGAATATTAGGTACAACCAATTTAATCATCGGAGAGGGGCTTCTAAACATGTTTTAGGACCACACAGTACATTTATCTTCAGGAGTGAGTGAGTGAGTGAGTTTGGTTTTACGCCGCTTTTAGCAATATTCCAGTAATATCACGGCGGGGGACACCAGAGTGAGTGAGTGAGTGAGTATGGTTTTACGCCGCTTTTAGCAATATTCCAGCAATATCACGGCGGGGGACACCAGAAATTGGCTTCACACATTGTACCCATGACTGGAATCAAACCCGGGTCTTCGGCGTCACGAGCGAACGTAACCACTAGGCTACCCGACCTCCCTTTTTCTCCAGGAACACATACTTATCGTAACAGCCGACTAACGGGATCGGGTGGTCAGGCTCGCTCACTAGGCTCATGCATGTCATCGTATCCAAATTGCGTAGATGGATGCTCATGATGTTACAGGACTGTCTGGTCCAGACACGATTATTTACAGGCTGCTGTCATATAGGTGGAAAATTGTTGAGTGCGGCGTTCAACAACAGCTGAACCCACGATCAGCGGATCCTTATATGGACAAGGTACGCAACTCCGTATAGCGAATTGGAGTGCATTAGATGACAAAGAAGTCACTGTCCCTTTAATCTATTTTCTAAAATGTCATAATATTTCTCACCCAAATCACGTCTGTTTACATGGAGTTGAGACGGATGAGCAGACCAGCCATTTCGAGTGGCGGCGTTCACAAGTACAGTCAGGTTGCTATGTCCGGTGATGTTGACGGTGGTCGAGTGGTCAGTGGTGTACAGTGGCTGTGACAGACAACAGGTGGCCTGGACGGAGTAGTTGACAATCACCCCTCTGCTAGCATCCCGTGGAACAGACTGTAAGATTGAACCAGATCATAACATGCACATGCATTATTATCATATTCACCAATATATCCTTGAAGGACCGAGGATGATCGGATCTGCCAAAGCTAATTATCATGTCTTTCTTGTAAATAAAGGGGGCTTGGGTGGCCGAGTCGTCTAAGGCGCCGCAATTCGCTGTGCAGAGTTGCGTCCCTTCGGCAGGCCAGAAACCTCTGATTATGGGTTCGAATCCCGTTCCACCCCGATTATGTTTCTAGGTTTGTCAGCACCATACCCGTGCTCATGGGTTTCACCGAAGTGGTTAACGTCTGAGACCTGCATCACTTCGAGCTTTCCTCCAACATTAAGCTGACATGCCGTGATATAACTGGAATACTGTTAAAAGCGGCGTTAAACCCAACTCACTCACACACTCTTGTAACTAAAACGACGAAACGCATTCAAGAAATCTTTGCTAAAAGCAGAGTCCATTCCACGATTCCGACTGTGTCAAAGGCATGAGCATATGGATCACTATCGAATAGTGATGATACCCGGTGATCGCAAAAAGTTGAGTGTATCCTGCAACACGAATGACTCATCACAAACGCATGCAAAGGCAAATCAATTGTTAAAAGGCAACCAATCTCAGGAACAAAGTCAAAACAGGGAATTGCATCGGACATAATTTTTGACACTGATTCGCGATTTTGAGGGGAATATGCCCCACATATCTTCCATAAACTGTTTATGCTGTGTGTTTTGTAACCCTGAACAAACAACTTTTGAGTAAGGGTCGCATGCCGCATGTAAGTTACGGGAGTTCAGAGGGTATCGTATGAATTACTTACACTCCAGTAGACCTCCAGCACTCCCGGTGCCACTCTGCTATATGCACTCTCTGGTATCACTGGGCCTGAAGCTGGAACTAGAGGACGTAAGATCCCTGATCAGTGATGTGGAATATTTAACATAAACGTCAACACCAGAGAATAAGAAGTCTCCATTATCCGCCGAAACAGATTCCATTAGGCGTAACAGGCAAAATAGCGGTAAAAAAAAATATATAAATGGTTCACTGAAAGTGGGCAATGACACCAGGTTTTCGCGAAAAGTTATTTTTCCGGTTTATATTATCTATATGACTTTGTATATGCTGATGCCTTATTTTGAAGTAACAATGACATAGTCTTTTCTTGGCCTGAAATAAAAGCGAAATTCGTTTTTCTTTATTAAATGACCCGTGAAGATTCCGGGTTAGAATAGGTCTTCAGCAACCCATGCTTGCCATAAAAGGTGACTATGCTTGTCCTAAAGGCGACTAATGGGATAGGGTGGTCAGGCTCGCTGACTTGGTTGATGCATGTCATCGATCCCAATTGCGTGGATCGATGCTCATGATATCAATCACTGGATTGTCAACCAAATCTTTATTGAATACATTTTCTTGTTTCATAAAATAAGGTAAATCGGCAGTTTCGTTTTCTAACGGACAGTGTGTTACATTCTCAGTTGTCTCCCATTTGTCTCTTAGGAACTGTTCCTGTATGACACCCGTGTTTTGTTTGGATATTTCATGTGTTCAGTGACAGAATAGACTGATTACTTCACTCTGATGATATTCACACTGACACCTCGCCTTAAAGTTCTGGTGGCATCGAATACTAGTATATAGTGAGTCATCGTTAATCGACACAATCGGAGCGCTGATATTACTTACAGTTCTCGTTAATAAGGCATCAAACCCCAATAGCTTAAACAGGGTTTTTGTCAAACAGAACTCCATGACCCGGCATGATCCTATAGTTTCTAGTGTACATGTACATGCGTATATGGGATTCCTGATGTCCAGTGAGACAGAAGCGCAGTGGGTCAATTGTTACGACGTCACCTAAAAACGTTACTGGTGTCATGAACAACGAATGACGTCGTCTCCATGTTGTTATGTTGCTGAGCAAAAGCGACTGGATATTGTATAAGGATGGTTATTGTTTAAATGAACACTGCACTGGCTAATTGAGAGATGATGTAACGATTTTTATGACTTGTTCATTGATATGTATGATGGTTGGTTGGTTGGTTGGTTTGTTGTTTAACGCCGCAGTCAGCAATATTCCAGCTATATGACGGCGGTCTGTAAATAATCGAGTCTGGACCAGACTATTGGGATCGATGACATGCATCAACCACGTCAGCGAGTCTGACCACCCGTCCCGTTAGTCGCCTTTTACGACAAGCATAGTCACCTTTTACGGCAAGCATGGGTTGGTGAAGACCTATTCTACCCCGGAATCTTCACGGGTCGATATGTATGATGGACAAGCAACTTGGGAAATATAAAAATACCAAAAATGATAACACACAGTGAGGATTAATTACTCAAAGTAGTTTCACCAATGCCGAAACAATACCGAAATACTGTTCAAAGCTGTTTTCGCTCACATATTTAAGAAATGAACGACGAGTGGGAGTTGTACAATGAAGCACGGCAGGGAGAATAAACCATGAGAGACGCAGACCCGAGCGGTTTATTCTCCCTGCAGTGTTTTATTGTACGATAAACAACGACAACGAGTCGTTTATTTCTTATATGAGATATTAACTTTATGCACAGTCTCTTCAAGGAAGTTGATACAATGTACAAGCTTTAACAATATTTACCCACATTATTATAATGATGACTCCCTGAACAGAATCCGACATAGGCAATGTCGGACAAGTCCATTTTACGAACAGGTGGGTTAGGTTTGATATTTTCCGCATACTCTCACAATCCTCAGGTCGATTAACTGCACCTTGTCTCCCAATACCGATTGTCATATCTCTCCCACTTTTAAATGTGTAATTAGTTTTCTGTATTTTCATTTTAGTTTTTGACATTTTCATTTTAGTTTTTGACATTTTCGTTTTTGTTTTTGACATTTTCATTTTAGTTTTTGACATTTTCGTTTCACTTTTCAGCGATTGAATATCTTCTTTACACATAATTTATCACATATTTGTAAGATTTGCAAAAGGTTACGATAAAAGTAAGTGAAATATCAAAATATGGAAAAACAGACTCCATGTCCCTTATGGGCCACCGTAAGCTATCTATATAGAGAAATACTGACCGTCTTCGAGTGTTGCATTTGTTGCATTCTGTGGAGGGCCGCGGAAGCCCTTTCTGTGAGGTCGTGACCTGACTGTCACGGTGTAGTTTGTCCAGGGCTGCAGGTCAGTTAGAACCACTTCAACATCTTCATCCTTGGTCTTAACTTTCTTGACCTGTGATCGCAGTGAACATTCTTTAAGTCGAAACCAATACGAGTTATCCGTAGGTCTGGACAGGCGGCGTGTCATGATACCACACAACAGTTACTGATCCTCTCGGAATCATAGCGTTACATCTCCGACATATCGAGATATGGAATTCGAGTTAACTATGTTGTTTAGAATACGGTAATGAAGTCATTATTATGTTTGTGTGTATTTCCCTTCGAGACAGTCAATTTTTTTGTTTGAATGCAGCAAATGTTTTCTAGTGTGATATTTTTTTCCAAAAGACGACAATGCAGGGGCTCTCAGGTGGACCCATATGATGAAAAAAACAATGTATGTACATGTTCATCTTAGCTGATAATAAACGTTACTTACATGATTCAAGTACAACACAGAGTATTTATAGGTTTCGAAGTAGGGATGTCTGTCGTCAGGTTTCTTCCACGACACCCGTAACGCTGTACTGTTGATGGCTGTCACCCGCAGAGCTCTGACTGGCCCGGGTTGTACTACAAACACACAGCAAATAGAAGAAAGTGTCCTGATAATTTGTACATAGTTTGCGTCCATGTATATCCACCCTTCCACTCTCAGACGTACTGCTCGGAGACACACCTCACGACACCTGTTGTCACACGGAATCTTGTGTCACACACTGTCTAGTGTCACACAACATATGGTGTCACACGCTACCGCTAAACAGAGATCTAGGTAAATCCCATTTCGGGTCATGTCAGAACGACTTTTCATCCGACCAGTCAGAACGTCGCTAACACAAATAGGGAAAGTGACAATCGGGATGTGTTTTTGTGATTCAACCTTCAAACGGTTAAAACGGGGTATTCCGTACGACAGTCACGGCTCCACGACTGTTTCCGCCAACATCATCGTCTATCTGTCGCTTAAAAGGGACAAACATTTGAACAGAGGAGACTTTGCACATCCCGTTGGAAGTACTGCCACACAATCTGGGCCATCTCATCATTGTCCAGTGTTCATATTTTGAATCGAGACCTTTGTCAAATGTTTTCAAAGCATAGTCTGCAATGAATTTAGTGCCGTATAGCTTGAGAAAGCTGTTTTCTGATTGGTTAATGTCGACTTCTTGTAAGTGGTTTCATTGGTCGGTCAAAGTTCACGGAAGATCAAATATATTCCTGTATTATGTTTTTCTCTTCTTCTCCCACATGTACAATGTACCAAATCTTTCTCTTTCACTCCCACATACACATCTGTATCACGTCTTTCTCTTCCACTCTCACATGTACGAATGTATCAATTCATTCTCTTCCACTCTCACATGTACGACTGTATCAGTTCTTTCTCTTCAAGGGGCGGTCGGGTAGCCTAGTAGTTAAAGCGTTCGCTCGTCCCGCCGAAGACCCGGGTTCGATTCCTGACATGGGTACAATCTGTGAAGCCCATTTCTGGTGTCCTCCGCCGTGATATTGCTGGAATATTGCTAAAAGCGGCGTAAAACCATAGTCACTCACTCACTCACTCATTTTCTCTACCATTCTTATATGTACGCCTATATCAGTTCTTTCTCTTCAACTCTCACATGTATTCCTGTATCAATTCTTTCTCTTCAACTCTCACGTGTACGACTATATCAGTTCTTTCTCTTCCATTCTCACATGTACGACTATATCAGTTCTTTCTCTTCAACTCTCACATGTATTCCTGTATCAATTCTTTCTCTTCCACTCTCACATGTACGACTATATCATCTCTTTCTCTTCAACTCTCACATGTACGACTTTATCATCTCTTTCTCTTCAACTCTCACATGTACGACTATATCAATTCTTTCTCTTCCACTCTCACATGTACGACTATATCATCTCTTTCTCTTCAACTCTCACATGTATTCCTGTATCAATTCTTTCTCTTCCACTCTCACATGTACGACTATATCAATTCTTTCTCTTCCACTCTCACATGTATTCCTGTATCAATTCTTTCTCTTCCACTCTCACATGTACGACTATATCAATTCTTTCTCTTCCACTCTCACATGTACGACTATATCATCTCTTTCTCTTCAACTCTCACATGTATTCCTGTATCAATTCTTTCTTCTCTTCCACTCTCGCATGTACGACTATATCAGTTCTTTCTCTTCAACTCCCACATGTATTCCTGTATCAATTCTTTCTCTTCCACTCTCACATGTACGACTATATCAGTTCTTTCTCTTCCCTCTCACGTGTACGACTATATCAGTTCTTTCTCTTCAACTCTCACATGTACGACTATATCATCTCTTTCTCTTCAACTCTCACATGTACGACTATATCAGTTCTTTCTCTTCCCTCTCACGTGTATTCCCGGAGGACATCTTTCGCTTCCGCTCTAATGTGTACGTCAGTATGAAATAGTTCTCTTCCACAATATGACTCTCTGTAACGTATTCTAACCGTTTCGGAGTTAAACCTGATCCAAGATAATCTGATACTCACTATAATCTGTAGTTTTTATTTGTCTGCACATTGACTCTGTCCAAGCATCCTTTCCCCCTTTCATGGTGATCTTCATCTTATGAAAGTTGTCACAAAACTTCAGGTCATCACAGTTGTATTCACATCTCCCAACAGCGGTGTTGCATCTCTTCCCAGTAACGACATCCGGACATGTGTCATTTTTACTGTGAAGAACGAACTTATCAGAGTACATCATACATCATTCATATAGTTTTCGTATAAACGGATGCGACGGAGAAAGTAAAGCCTCCTTGTTATCTGTGTCCGCGTAATTCAAGTTTACAACATAAACACACCTACAACGTCAGTGTTGCATCTTTTCCCAGAAACGACATGAGTTTCTTATGACTTGTCTGGCGTAAAGAAGTCGCAGAGAACAGTTTCTCCCTGTAAATCATATTGAACGATATTCTTTACAGACCTATGTACATCCTTAGTCTTCACAAAAGAAGTCTAGTATTAAAAAGTTGCAATTATTTGTCAATAAAGCCCTAAATGTGGGGCAACGGCACCTGTCTTAACAGGATATTTGAATAGTCAATGTGCTTTCCTCGGGGAAAGCAATCAGTATATAAGGATTATTACTATCCTATATATGTAGTAACCTGATCTCATAGCTGTTGTATTATGTTATATTATTCTTGTATATAGGGCTCTGGCCTCAAGTATAGAAATAAGAAAAGTCATCAGGACACATGAGTCCGTATTTACCTGCCGACATCACACAATCAACCATACAAAGAGTTGTCATATTAAGGGACGGGGAAAAGTGTACTTCACAGCGATTATCCTTTTTCGTTTTGGTTTGTTCTATTTTGTTTGTAGTTGAACTACGCACTCAGCAATATACAAGGTATATGACGGCGACCTGTAAATAATCTGTTCAGAACCAGACAATCGAATCCATTTGCTTTCCTCTTCAGACAAGCATAGGTTGGCACCTATTCTAACCCGGAACTACTCCCAAGGGGTCACCAGCTATCGTTATAAGGTAAGGGATGCTGGAGGAGGCAACTACAAGTACTATTCTTGGTGTGTTCATGTCGCCAAGATATATAGCCTCCCTCCCTCCCGCCCTTTATCTCTCCCCCCCCCCCCCCCCCCCCCCCACACACACACACACACACACACACCCACCTCCCTCCCCCAACCCCCAACCCCGCAGCAGTACCATCACTCACTAATTCAGACCCGTGAAGATCCGGGTAGACTTCAGCAACCCATGCTTGCTGTAAAAGGCGACTATGCTTGTCTTAAGAGGCGACTAACGGGATCGGGTGGTCAGGCTCGCTGACTTGGTTGATGCATGATTGTCGGGTCCAGACTCAATTATTTACAGACCGCCGTCATATAGCTGGAATATTGCTGAGAGCGGCGTTAAACAACAAACAAACAAATAGAGAGACACTCACTCACTGCATGTCTGGTGTGTTGGCCAACTAACATCGTATCCTAATGGCGTACATCAATGCTTTCATCTTTAGCTGCAGGTGTATCCTTTCTGGTGGCACTTCAGGCCGTTTTGAGAGCAAAGGAAACCCAGGGTTCTCTTATGAAAGTAAACATGAGGACATGTTCAACTCACCTGAACTGTGAACACGTGGTGCATGTCGTGTTGCTGCTGTCAATGCCGTCACGGAGGTCGTAGTTACAGGTGAGAAGCCTCCTGGCATACAGGACGCAGGTCATGTTCTCCGGTTGTGTGGGGTCTGAGAAATAGAAGATAAAGGTAACTGAATGAACACTTGCAAAAGGTATAGCTATTGGTCTCAGTATATAATAGCTCGTTTGATATTTTGAGACTGATTAGGGTGGGTGATGGGGTAGATCTGAACAAAGATTTAACGAATATTTGCACCACTCTAAATTGTGGGGATGTAGTTAGTATGGACTGGTTATTGCGCGTGTCAATGTCCAGCCTATCGTAATGCGTATCTATTAGTTATGACAAAGTGCGGTGAATTCGCTTCACTGTGGGATTTGCTTGATCAAGGACACGTTACACTGCCTCTTACCTCCTGCTGTCAAATCAAACAACGTTGCTATGGCAACTAAAACGCTGAAAGTATACAGCATGGTCGTGCAGATGCAAAGTCGTCCTTGACCCTTCCTTGATTAAAGGTTACGTCATTCATCCTACAAGGTAAAATAAAACTCACATCAAGTATTATGAGCAGAATTTTTTTCCATCGTAATCCTTCAGCAAAGTCAGATGAGCAAACAGGTGATAACAAACAATTATTTATTTAAAGCATGGCACTCATGATATACTGAACAGCATTGAAAACGCACCACCATGAAAATGGATGTATTTTTATCCGGGCTTAAAGGGGAAGTGTACACGCAAAAATTACTTTCTTTCTTTTTCTAAACAAAACGCAATTTTAGAATTAGTTAGTATCTGTGTTTGAAAATATACACTCATTTTTTTCACAGTGAAAGTAGGAAGCTCACAATAGTGTGAAAATGATATGCCGTTATGAGGCCTTCGTTTTTCGAGCTAAACAGGCCTGAGTTATCTCCCTTAGATTATGACGTAATTGGTGCCAATTCAACTTGGTCCCTGTCTATTCTCAACGCAAAAGATATCAAGTACAAGTTTTCGGTAAAACAACATGGCCTACGACACACTCCGGCGCAGTGGTGACTCAGCATAACACTATGCTGGCTGGCATCTGAGACGCTAGAATCACACACCTGTACCTACACCACGTGAAGCCGCTCTAACAAAGCATGATGACGTCATAATGTTTATCAATTGGCACCAATGACGTCATATTGCAAGGGGCATAAGCCATGGTGTTTTTGTTATGGAAATAGAATACTTGGTAAATGTGAAAAATATAAATCGTTTTAATGCAAAACATATGTTGATTAATTGTGATATTTTTATATTTTTGTCTATGACACTTCTAGGTTAACACTTTTATTGTGGAAAAAGTACAAGAAAATTAGGTTCATTTCCGTGTGAACTTGCCCTTTAAGTCATATGAAAATATATAAGTGAATGAGTAATATACGACGTTCTGGACGAAGCATGAAGAAGAACAGCTCGTCAAAACACATTCCTAATTTTTTTGTGAGCGAAATCGCCAAAACGCAACAAATTGCGTGCACATCATGGAAAACGTGTTTTGTTTCACGGGAAGCATGCAGAATAGGGCTATAAAAGACAGACTTTTAAAAGCCACATCACTTGTTGTTGCAGACGTAAAGGGTACTGACACAAGAAATGCCAAGATTAACAGCAGAGGAACGTGAACGTGCCTTGGGCATGCTTCAAGTTGATACGTCAAGTAGAGTCGTTGCACACCGGTTTCAATGCCATCATTCAACAGTCCTCAGGAAACAGCAGATACCAGCAGACAAGAACCACCAGAGATCGACCACGTCCGGGTCAACGTCGTGTAACTACACCACGTCAGGATCGCCATATTGTTCGTCGGCATCTTCGTGAGCGTACACTTCCGGCTACCAGGACTGCAGCGACTGTACAAGGCCGACGGAATTGATCAGTGCTGACACCGTACGTCGACGTCTCCGCTCAGCAGGGCTACGTGCTCGACGTCCATATGTTTGACCCATACTCACTGATTGACATCGAAATGAACGTCTGCGTTGGGCCAAAAAGCATCGCCATTGGAGATTGCGGCAGTGGCATGGTGTGCTGTCCTCTGATGAGTCCTGTTTTCATTTACGGAATGCTGACGGTCGACTGCGAATGTGGCGTCGACGTGGAGAACGTTACCACAATGACTGCGTTGTACAGACAGATCGATGGGGGGAGGGAGTGTCATGGTGTAGGGCGGCATCAGTCATAACCATCGAACAGAGCTCCATGTTTGTCGTGGGAGAGTTATTGCCCTTTACTACAGGAATAACATCTTGGCAAATCACGTCATCCCATTCTTTCATCAGCACCAGGATATGCACACCTTCCAGCAAGATAATGCAAGAGCGCACCCAGCACGTGTTTCAACACAGTACCTAGCGAACAATAATGTGCTTCTGCTTCCATGGCCAGCCCTAACACCCGATCTATCGCCAATTGAACATATATGGGATTACCTGGGTCAACGCCTCTCACGTCGTCCGCAAGTACAGAACCTGAGAGAACTTGAAGATCCACTACGTCAAGAGTGGAATGCCCCAGAACACTATTCGCAGACTTATTCGATCAACGAGAAGACGTTGCATGACCTGTGTTGCTGTCAATGGCGGACATACCAGATATTTAACCCTATGTGTCGTCCTTACACTGATGACGTAATTGTAATTACTGTGTGGTATTCCTGTTTCCTTTGTCGTCTTTGTGAATAATCCGTCTATGTCTGTTCTAATCAAAATCGGTCATTGCTCAAGTTGTTTTTGTAATATTTCAAGATGTATTGCTGGTGCGTTTTCAATGCTGTTCAGTATATATGGGTCCATTCTCTGTCAACGAAAGTTCGTTTGAAGGCGTCAGTAACGGTTATCTGACCGTGGTTGCATAAAATCACTGAGTTGTGTGATCTACTGATTACCTCACACACGATTTCGCCGAAATTAATGTTAACAATATTGAATAATATTTTGAATACAATTATTAAAACAGGTAACAAATATAAGTAGAAAAAATAAACAATGAACAATTATAGTATCCAGACAGTGTAATTACGTGATTAATTTGCGTACTTCAGCGTTACGTGCTTACGGTAATGTCTTTGCGATGGGGAAAGAACATCAAACCTCAGTACCCCCACCCACCCACCCCCACCCATGCGACATTGCCTGGGTGTGTCATCCGATGCGGGAGCATTGCACATTTCTCCATCATCATAATCCTCATCATTTACATATTTATTGGAATTGACCTTTATATGTATTTGGGTTATTTCTTTTTTGGATAATAACCACCATAAGTGAAAAACAATATTGAAGTCAGTTCATAAATGAACATGTATGGCACGAAAAAGGTATGTAGATGATTTATAATATGAAACTGAACATGATATCAACAGTATATTTGCATAATCTCTGAAACCGTCGAACGTCTTAGATATCAGGTTTTGACAACACATCTGAGCCGGCGATGGGTCGCGTTCCGTGTGGGGTGTAGAAACACGTTAGTACGTGTGAACTGGTAAGATGTTGGACGAAGCCCTTAAGATAAATATTGATGCCTGCATATCTTAACACAAGGAAGTAGCTCTAGAAAATCAAGTGATCGCTTTTTCCTTTCGGTTCAACTTCCAGACAAAAAGATAATGTGTTGATTGGAGAAACGAAACGAGTTTGTTTATTTTATCAAAAAAGCAAGCGTCGTATCCTTGCGCTCGGAAGTGGTGTCAGATTACAGTCAAGTGTAGAGAAGTTCAGACACGGTATGAGGACACACTTTTTGGGTGCATGGCGTTCTCGTGTGAGGGCGTGGGAGGTGTCGGAGGTGTGGAGCGGGTTGGCGGTGTTTATGGTTTCGTCGTTGATATCAATACTACCCTCCGTGTTTATAGCCCCTACTCATGTGTTAACTCCCCGAACACCTGTTGGCACACCGTATACTTGTGTTGATATGTCCTATAGTTGTGTTGGTATCCCGTATACTTGTGTTTGTAACGCGTATACTTGTGTTGATATGTCCTATAGTTGTGTTGGTATCCCGTATACTTGTGTTTGTAACGCGTATACTTGTGTTGATATGTCCTATAGTTGTGTTGGTATCACGTATACTTGTGTTGATATCACGTAAACTTGTGTTGACACCTCGTATACCCGTGTTGATATCACGTTTAGTGTGATGATATGTCGTATACTTGTGGTGGTATCGCGTCTTCTCGTGTTGGTATCACGTATACTTGTGTTGGTATCACTTCTACCTCTTTTAGTATCATGTATACTTGTGTTGATACGCCGTATATTTGTGTTGGTATCACATTTACTTCTGTTGATATGCCTTATACTTGTGATGGTATAACGTATACTTGTGTTGGCATGTCGTATATTTGTGTTGGTATGACGTCTACTTGTGTTGGTATCACGTATATTTGTGTTGGTATCACTTCTACCTGTTTTGGTATCACATCTACTCGTGTAAGTATCACGTCTACTTGTGTTGGTATGACGTCTACTTGTGTTGGTATCACGTATATTTGTGTTGGTATCACGTACATTTGTGTTGATATGCCGTATACTTGTGTTGATATCACATCTACTTGTGTTGGTATGACGTCTACTTGTGTTGGTATGACGTCTACTTGTGTTGGTATCACGTCTACTTGTGTTGGTATGGTATCACATCTACTTGTGTTGGTATGACGTATACTTGTGTTGGTATCACGTCTACTTGTGTTGGTATAACGTCTACTTGAGGTCGTATCCTGTATACTTGTGTTGGTATCCCGTTTACCTGTGTTGATACGCCGTAAACTTGTGGTGATATGTCGTATACTTATGTTGATATGCCGTATATTTGCGTTCATTGCTGTATAATTGTGTTGATATCTCGTATACTTGAGGTGATTATGGGTATTTTTTGTGTTAATATGCCGTATATTTGTGTTCATATGCCGTATACTTGTGTTGGTGTCCCGTATACCTTGTGTTGATATGCCGTATACTTGTGTTGATATGCCGTATACTTGTTGACATCCTGTATACATGTATTACATGGTCAGATGCCGTATACGTGTGGTCATATCCCGCATACCAATCATGATACGCCGTATAGCTATGGTGATATCCCGTATACTTGTGTTGATGTTTCGTATACCTGTGTCCACGTCCCGTATACACATGTATCAACACTGCTCAACATCGACTGACACGTCATGTCAAACAATAATAAGTCGTAATCATAAAACAGGACATGCCTTCATACATGCCAGGCTTATCTGTAGTTAATATACTGGCAGCTGACCAGCTTGGTGGACTTAAATCGAGTATATATAACTGTAATATTGCCAATGTAACAAATCTCTTCACGCATTGCGAGTGAGTGAGTTGGGTTTAACACAACTTTTAACAGTATTCCCTTTATATCACGTCGTGTGAGCTTAATGTGGGATTAAAGCCCGAAGTGATGCAGGTCTCATATGTGTGCCACTTTGGCGAAACCCACGACCACAGGTATGGTGCTGACAAATCTGGAAACATAATCGGGGCGAACCGGGATTCGAACCCACGACCCTGTGTTTCTTGCTTGCCAAAGGGACGTAACTCGGACAGCGAATTGTGGCGTTTTATACGACTGGGTCCCCCGTAACCCTTTTCCAAGTATATATACCATATACATAGAGTATATACTATATATAACATGTGAACCATATATAGCATATGTAACACTGGATATAACATATGTAACAATGTATATAACACTATATAATATATGTAACACTGTATATAATATATGTAACACTGCATATAATATATGTAACACTGTATATAACAAATGTAACACTAGATATAACACTGTATATAACTTGTAACTGTATATATCAGGAGTGACCGGGTAGTTTGCGTTGTTGAGTGAGTGAATGAGTATGGGTTTACGCCATTTTCAAGCAATAACTCATCGGGGAAAGCCAGGAATTGGCTTCACACTGTAACCCTGTGTGACATGAACCGGGCCTTCAGCGTGACGAGCGAATTCGTCATTTTTGTTTCCATTTATATCCCTGCTCTTTTTACCGAGAACAAGGCCGATTTAATATGTGAGTATATCGCCAATATTGATCAGTAAAGAGTGAGTGATTGAGTGAGTTCATCGGTGTTTTCTGTTTTATTACACGTCGTGTCGAATGGAAGCCCGACGTGATATATGTCTTATCATTAGACGGGTATTGTAGTCAGAGTCAGTCTCATCAGGTTGGTTGGTTGGTTGGTTTGTTGTTTACGCCGCACTCACCAATATTCGAGCTATATGACGGCGGTCTGTAAATAATCGAGTCTGGACCGGACAATCCAGTGATTGATATCATGAGCATTCGATCCACGCAATTGGGATGGATGATATGCCTCAACCATGTCAGCGAGCCTGACCACTCGATCCCATTAGTCGCCTTTTACGACAAGCATAGTCGCCTTTTACGACAAGCCTAGTCGCCTTTTACGGCAAGCATGGGTTGCTGAAGACCTATTCTAACCCGGATCTTCACGGGTCCAACCTCATCAGAGCAAATCAGGGTTCGAATCCAAGATCATGTTTCTGGCACACCAACAGGAGGCAACTCTGCACAGTTTAGCCACCCGTATTCCGCTGCTCAGTTTGTTTGCTTGTTGTTTAACGTCCTATTCAACAATATTTCAACTACGTGACGGCGGCATGTAAATAATTTAGTTTGGACCAGACAATCCAGTGATTGACATCATGAGCAACCATCACGTAATTGGGATACGATGACATATATCAATCAAGTCAGCGTGCCTGACCACCCGTTAGTCGCCTCTTACGACGAGCGTAGGTTGCTGAAGGCTAATTCTACCCCGAATCTTCACGGGGCCCTGATCGGTACACATCCTAATTGCGAGATAATCACGATAACAATCTGTCGATGTAAATACTGCACAAATTTAGTTACTTGAAAGTGTTCGATAACCTCAAGATAGACATGAAGTTCAACTACTAGTGTTTAAGTATTTCAGTATTCCATTGTTGAGAGAAGGGGCCGATGTATCCAGCAGAAAGGACATTAAAAGGTAAACAAACCGAAGTTGGCGTTTAAAATATGTAATTGAATGGATACGTTCCAACTAATTTGAAATCAAATCCAAGATATCATTCCAATTACAAATAATGAGTTTGGACCACATAATGATTGAAATTGTGAGCATCGATCCATGCCGCCGTGTCACGATGACACCCTGTCAACCACGTGATCAAGTTCGACCACTCGATTCAACTACCAGCATGGGTTGCCGGAGACCAGTTCTAACCCGGAATCCCTAAAGGGAGATTTTACAACGTTCTCCAATAATTAATCTGTTTGATTTGTTTGTTTGTTGTTTAACGCCGCAATATTCCAGATATATGACGGTGGTCTGTAAATAATCGAGCCTGGACCAGACAATCCAGTGATTGACATCATGAGCATCGATCAACGCAATTGGGATCGATGACATGCATCAACCAAGTCAGCAAGCCTGGCCACTCGATACCGTAGAGTCGCCTCTTACGACAAGCATAGTCGCCTTTTACGGCAAGCATGGGTTGCTGATCATGAAGACCTATTCTACCCCGGATCTTCACGGGTCTAATCTGCCTCAACACACAAGGTAAATAATACACTTGTTATGCTCACCTTCCGTCCAACAGCTGGCACTCGGGTGTCTCACACTTCCCTATGAGTACTCCTGTTTATATTTACAAACATACGGAAATCAAAACTCGGCTTCTCCAGATTAAGTGGAAAGAAAACAAATATCTTTTGTTGTAGCTTTTCGCCACTTCCTCGTTGATAACAACTATGTAAAACATGGGGCTAAGACATTCAGACAAGATATAGGCGTCCCCAAGGCACCCTCATGTTCCCCTTCTTGTTGATCTGTTTCTTAATAAATATGAGTCGGAATGTTTGCGCGGATTTGTAAAATCAAAACGAGGGAGTTTGGCCAAGAAGGTATAAACTTCAGGTACATCGAAGAACGGGTATTATTCAATCAGGGCCAACAGCCAATTGCCTTCCACTGATTTACCCACCTGGACTGAAAAAAACAATGAAACTTCCTTATCTATTTCATATTTAGAATTATGCATAAAGATTCGGAGTAAAAATTATCAACTTTTATACGTTCATGTCTTACAATTACCATGACTCACAGCTGATATGTTCACTCATTTTGGACCCATGATACACAGTTAATTCGTTCATGACACAGTTTTTACGTCCATGATTAAGATTTTATAACTCCACTCGCTGAGTCACTTATAGCCATATCGAGCTGAATGACCGCCTTCAACGCTTCCTTCCATCATCGGTTACTGTGACATAAGGCGTTTAGGACGCGTCGGCTCTGACTGTCTTGAGTGAATCATAAGAAGCACTAGACTGAAGTCAGTCCAACACAATCTCTGGGTGCGCAATGCTTAGTCTGCAGTGAAACAGTGGTGAAATTATACAGATTACAGACAACTCTTACCATTGCTGTACACAAGGTATCACTCACTCACTCACTCACTCACTCACTCACTCACTCCACCGACCAGGGATGGCGATATATTCAACATGAATTTCTGAATCCTTTTTACCAGTTTTCTGCTGTTCAACACCACGAACAAGGTTTGTCTCTTGAGAGGTAGACACCAACACATAATCCGTATTGTTTGGTCGTATTCCAGCTACAGGAACATCTTCATCATCTCTGGAGGAACGTTCCCTAACTCTGGAAGAAGAGGATCCCAGATCTCGAGTGTGACGGGGGTATTGCGTTTGCTCCCCTTCTGTCGCAGAAGATGTTGGCTTCAGACCCAGACCACGCCTTCCCCTACCCTCATGATGGTTGGAAGACGGTTTGTACCCTACCTTTGCCGCGGGGGTAGACGAAATAGACACATAAACCCGATCACTTATCGATTCTTCTTCACGATGAGATGGTTGTGATTTGCGTCCTTCTATGGACGAACGGTGTTTACCCACGGGAATATTATCACACTTTGGTCCAATGCCCCCCTCGTGGCTTGGGTGGAGCATGTTTTCACCTACCCCCACGTCTGAAGCAGGTGTGGGTAGAGCATCAGGACTCCAGGATGGGCTGTTTGGCTGGTGTATGGATCCCTGGCGCTGCAGTGGCAACCCCTGCAAGAGTCGATCATAGAATGTTAAGAGTCACAGGTACTTCTGCCGATCAAATACATACAAAATGAGTTTGAGATCGAAACAAATAAGTGCACAATAGCGTAAAATGAAAACAGCTATCCCCGGCTATCTTTAGACTACACTTCATGACGCTGATATACATGTATGTCGTAGTTATATTCATTCAATCATTGCAGTGAATTTTTCTGAAACTCTATGCTGTTCCTCGGGGAAAATGTTGCTGTTACAGTAAAATAACAATGACTGCAATCAATGTTACTGGTAAAGTAGACACAATTTATGGATAACAACTTCTTTATTTTACTGTAATGGCCACGTTTCGGTATAGATCCTTATACCTTTGTTAACCTTGCCTGATAACGGTATAAGGATCCATGCCGAAACGTCGTCAAATAAAGAAGATGTTATCCATAAATATAAATTGTGTCTACTTTGTCATCCGTCAACTTCCAAGAAATACCTATCAAACAAGTCAGTGTTGCTTGTAGACATTAATGTAACGGCGTGACTGTTTCTCGGGGATGGCTGCTTACCGCGCTGCTATGTTTCTTCTCGTCACCAGCATTTATTCGATTATTCTAACGTAAAGGTATTTAGAAAAATCGACTAAATGCACGCAAAGCGACTTTAGAATGGAATTTTTTTACATCGACAGTACAGACCACAAATATATTTCTTCTATTAGTTCAAGTTCACATTACGTACAGTTAGTTATTCACTTCGGTTACAGTTAAAAGTGCAGTGAAGGTTTCTGATACTAGTATGCAGTGAACGTTCTCCGTACTTTTCTCCATCAGTGGTTTCTCCTACATCACCATCAGTGTCTCTTTTCATCTCACTATCAATATCTTGTCCAAGATTCTAACGAGCAAAGACAAAAATACAGCACCTCTTTTTAAATCTCGTTACATCAACTCTTAAATCGGAAGTAATATAAATATAGAAACTATGGAGTTATGTGAAGTACGTGCGTTTTAGGCGTATTCAATTGTTAAAATTCCACAGTACAATTGTGGTGGGTGGATTTGTACTTGATTATACCAAAATTTGCCAAAGAACAATATTTACTGAGCAAGCTAAACAATTATTAATCATTATGCTGTTATGAACAAGTGGCTTTCCAGATTGATCAGACGTACAGCTGTGTAAACAGCGAACCACCTCTCACAATGTGTGTGTGTGCGTGCGTGCGTGCGTGCGTGCGTGTGTGCGTGCGAGCGTGCGTGCGTGCGTGCGTGCGTGCGTGTGTGTGTGTGTGTGTGTGTTCGTAAATATATCAGAATTTGAAATAGATAAAGATAATATATAACGGGCATATCCAAATTTGAAACCATTATACGTCAATCTTTGAAGCATACTTAGAGTAATTTGCTTCTTAAAGATCACATTATGATGAATGAGATGGAATTCGGCCTCAGTTTCTTTTGCTTTCGAGCTTATTTTTACTTCTTGAGATCCTTTACCGTGGTATGTTTTGGAATATTATTCAGATGTATGATCATACCTTCCATAGGGTCGAATCTATCGGGTATGACGCTTGTTTATACCTGCGACACAGCCATTTGATGCTGAAATAAACATGACATGGTGTGAAGTATTTAGATAATCCTTGTACTCTGATGAAAGGGTAGGAGGGTCAAGTGTCATAACTTTCGAATATTTGCATTATCACTGATGATTGGTCATTTGAAGCGATATGACGTAACATTGATTCATCGTAGACAACAATACGATATGGCATCATCCACTGTTTATGACGTCACAAATGAATAATATTACGTCGTGGGAACAATATCTCTCTCTCTCTCTCTCTCTCTCTCTCTCTCTCTCTCTCTCTCTCTCTCTCTCCTTCTCTCTCTCTCTCAAGTATTTCCTTTCTTATCGAGCATCACTGTGATATAAAGGTGAACACGTCATATTGGGTATCCTTGTAGATGTCCATTACTTACCTTAGGATGAGAAATACCAGGATGGGGACGATGGACACGCCCAAGAGAACCTTTATCGTGGTACCTGCAAAAACGTAATATTTACAAAATGAACATCATCAGTCATTGCCATCCTCAAACCATCATCAAAAGTAACGTCAGTTCGAATACTGTTAAACCTAGGCGTCTCAGATTCAATAAATCAAACAGGGAGATTAACCGAAAAGTCCATTCCGTGGAGATCCGGGTTAGAATGGGAGAGGCGACAAACGGGTAGTCAGGCTCGTTGACTTGGCTGGTGCATGTCGTTGTACCCCAATTGTGTGGATTGATGCTCATGATATCAATCACTGGATTGTCGGTCTTGACTCGGCTATCGACATACCGTTGTCATATAGCTGAAATGTTGCTTTGTGCGGCGTTAAACAACAAACAAACAACAGACCGAAAATACCAAACCCTCGTCAGCACTATAGCAAATAACGACACTCCGCCCATCCCGATGGAGACTGACTCTATACTAATTTCTTTCACTGCTTTAAAACATACAACCGTTGTCTCTGAAAGGAGATAAACGGTATTATATCCACACTAAAGTAGTATTGAGTCATGTCAACCTGCAAGTGCAGTGAACATGTATATTTACTTTGTAAAAATCGAGCCGATATGTTCAATTTCTTACTCAATGTATTCCCGTCCCGACTCTGTAGTCGTGTAATGACAGGAGAACTAGGAAGTCCGAGTCCCCGCTTGGTACGGATGCGCACGCAGATGCAGTAGGTTTTTGAGATTTGTAAGTTGTCGATAATAATACCGGAAGTGTTGAAGTGTGCAGCTACTGTGATATTTGGTCCTGAAACAGAAGAATTGGTGTGCGAGCAAAGAAAACCGCGACACTTTAAATGAACTTTTTTTTAAAATGCTTCTTGCAGAAGGGTTTCAGGCAATATTCATGCGAACTGCTACATTCAAATCAACCAGTTGGATATATTGCTGAAACCAGTCTGCTGAAAGTATCCTGTTCACAGCCAACACCATCAATCTTCCCTTATCACTCATTGCTAACACTAACCCATCCTGATCACCCATATAAAAAAAACACCAACCTACCCTGATCACATAACAATATCGCCAACCTACACTGAACATACACATCCAACAACATCAACCTTCCCTTGTCACTCATAGCTAAAGTCAACCTACCCTGAACATACACATCCAACAACATCAACCTTCCCTTGTCACTCATAGCTAAAGATAACCTACCCTGATTACACACATCCAACAACATCAACCTTCCCTTACCACTCATAGCTAAAGTCAACCTACCCTGAACATACACATCCAACAACATCAACCTTCACTTGTCACTCATAGCTAAAGTCAACCTACCCTGATTACACACATCCAACAACATCAACCTTCCCTTACCACTCATTGCTAAAGTTAACCTACCATGAACATACACATCCAAAAACATCAACCTTCCCTTCTCACTCATTGCTAAAGTTAACCTACCATGAACATACACATCCAACAACATCAACCTTCCCTTGTCACTCATAGCTAAAGTCAACCTACCCTGAACATACACATCCAACAACATCAACCTGCCCTGATAACTCATAGCTAAAGTCAACCTACCCTGATCACACACATCCAACAACATCAACCTTCCCTTGTCACTCATAGCTAAAGTCAACCTACACTGAACATACACATCCAACAACATCAACCTGCCCTGATAACTCATAGCTAAAGTCAACCTACCCTGATCACACACATCCAACAACATCAACCTTCCCTTGTCACTCATAGCTAAAGATAACCTACCCTGATTACACACATCCAACAACATCAACCTTCCCTTACCACTCATAGCTAAAGTCAACCTACCCTGAACATACACATCCAACAACATCAACCTTCCCTTCTCACTCATAGCTAAAGTCAACCTACCCTGATTACACACATCCAACAACATCAACCTTCCCTTACCACTCATTGCTAAAGTTAACCTACCATGAACATACACATCCAAAAACATCAACCTTCCCTTCTCACTCATTGCTAAAGTTAACCTACCATGAACATACACATCCAACAACATCAACCTTCCCTTGTCACTCATAGCTAAAGTCAACCTACCCTGAACATACACATCCAACAACATCAACCTGCCCTGATAACTCATAGCTAAAGTCAACCTACCCTGATCACACACATCCAACACCATCAACCTTCCCTTGTCACTCATAGCTAAAGTCAACCTACACTGAACATACACATCCAACAACATCAACCTGCCCTGATAACTCATAGCTAAAGTCAACCTACCCTGATCACACACATCCAACACCATCAACCTTCCCTTGTCACTCATAGCTAAAGTCAACCTACACTGAACATACACATCCAACAACATCAACCTGCCCTGATAACTCATAGCTAAAGTCAACCTACCCTGATCACACACATCCAACAACATCAACCCTCCCTTATCACGCATAGCTAAAGTCAACCTACCCTGATTACACACATCCAACAACACTAACTTACCCTGATCACATACATCATTCAACGCAAAACTATTCTGATCACTTAACAATAACGCCAACTTACCCTGATCACAAACGCATGGCATGTGTGGTGGCTTTAAAGTGTATATAACCACATAGAACAACGGCCGACTCTTCATCACCTCCTTGTCACAGAAGATGTGCCCCCATTCTACACGAACTGCATCTGTTGTCGTCGTAACATCAGGAATCGGGGACTGGTTTTCTGACAATCATAATTTTGAAACACTGATAATATCAGCATGATGATTGTACTAAAAATTGAATGGAAATTGACCGTATCACGTAAAGAAAACAGTGCCTGTACACAATTCGAAATGTTTCGTTAACAAGAACACAGTCAAACACCGTTGTGTCGAGGTCGAAGGGACCAGATATTTCGAGTTATCCTAGGTTCGACACAACCGAAAATGATGAATAAAGAAGTAATACGCAGGGACCAAGCGTTAACTTCGAGACAAACGTACACATCATAGTTCGACACACGGTGTTTGGCTGTATTTTAAACGAATATGTTTTTTAATGTCTTCAATGTCCTCCACAAATTAGTTTACCCTACCGCAACACCGAATTACCCCAACACACCTATTATTATCTATACCCCACAGTAGAGAAATGCAGACATATACATTTAGCTTCCGTTACTTGAGACGTTTACATTAGAATATAATAACAAATTAATAGAACATAATTTAACATTGGCTCGTGTGTACTTTTTTAACGTAAACCCACCTTCGTCAACATCGAATATACACTTGTTCCACATAATGCCATGGGTGAGGTTTCTGAAGGTCAAGGACACGCCAAGCCAGATGCCAACGCTTGCGTGACCTTGAATTTGCACAGTGACTTGTTTGGTTGTGTTGGCATATGTTGTCCAACCAAAGCTGTTCTGCAACAGAATAACCGCAACACGTCTAACTTGATTGGACGTAATAAGCAAATGGATTATGATACAATCATTACCAAGGGAAGCAACTATACACAACAATTTGTGCTTTGGGCCATTGTTTGTTTGTTTTTGTTTTGTTCGTTCGTTTCTTTCTTCCGTAACGAAGCACTCAGAAATATTCCAGCTAAGCGATGGGGGTCTGAAAATAGTCAAATCTGCACAAGACAATCCATGCAGTGGTTGACATCATGAGCATCAATCTACGTAATTGGGAGATGATGACATGCATCATCTAAGACAGCAAGCCGGACCAATCCTGTAGGCTGTAACATTTATAGAATAACCCACGAGGTACGAGTGATTACGGAAAATATGTCATGAGTGAACATGAAAACGAAATCTACAAGTCAGCAGTTGATAGTGATGCTGACATATTTCATACTGTGACGTTACGTGGCGATTACTACTTATGAAACTGTGGGAGGGCTAAATAACAATTTTCTGAATTACATTGTGATAGCAGCAAAACGACACATTTATGTCCAAGTATAAAAAAATTCAAACCTTGCTTCACCACATTTCTATAAAAGGTCATGAAAAATATTTAACAGTTTAGGGTCGTTTTCTCGGAACTGTCGAGACATATTATCCCTTCGATATATCCAGTCATTCGACGTAACACGGTTGGCGGTAACGACGCTCGAGTGGATACATACACTTGAATGAAGTATGTAACAGAATAGGAAATATAAAAACGTAAAAGTAGAGATATGGAGGATATATACTGACCACGGAAAAAGTGTCGTTGCCACTACACCACGTGACAGTTACGTAGTCTACATATTTTTGTGACGTAATCCATGTGACGTTGTACGAGAAAGGAGATATTTTCTCTGCTATGGCGTAGTCAACTCTAGGCAAGTCTGAAAACACAAGCAGATCACATCGCAATTTAAGCCCCTACTTTACATAACTGTGTCGATACAATAGATACAGGAAAGCGTACTTCCGGGGTAAAACGAGCGCAAAACTCCCTGAGATCACATACACCAAGTGTTCACGCGAAAGAAGTAGGTCATGCATGCCTCGTCGTATGAACAGCAGACAGAGTGAGTGAGTGAGGTTTTACGCCGCTTTTAGCAATATTCCAGCAATATCACGGCGGGGGACACCAGAAATGGGCTTCACACATTGTACCCATGTCGGGAATCGAACCCGGGTCTTCGGCGTGACGAGCTAACGCTTTAACCACTAGGCTACCCGACCACCCACAGCAGACAGAAGTAACCAACTGACCTTGAGATCGAAAGACGCTACTCTCAAGTATTGAGGAACAGCAAGGGACGCCATACCATATTCTGATCATGACTAGTCTTTCTTATCAGTTTCTGTCCCCTTTTTCTGATTTATCCTGTTCCGTTTATTGGCTTATAGGTGGGACGCTATGATATAATACTATCCCTTACTGCATCACATGCTTGTCGCAAGAGGCGACTGTGCTTGTCGTAAGAGGTGACTAACAGGATCGGGTGAGCAGCTGACTTGGTGGATGCATGTCATCGATCCTAATAGTGTGGACAGATGCTCGTGATGTCAATCACTGGATTGTTTGGTCCAGACTCAATTATTTACAGACAGCCGACACATAGCTGGAATATTGCTGAGTGCGGCTTCAAACAAACAAACAAACATCCTATATCTCAAACTTTTAAAGATAATGCATTTTGGACAATTGTTGAATATCAGTTAATTAACAGCACGATGCATGTTCGGTCTGCGCGAGCGAGGGGGGGGTAGGATTTAGACAACAGGAGACTAGTCATGATCAGAATATGGTATGGCGTCCCTTGCTGTTCCTCAATACTTGAGAGTAGCGTCTTTCGATCTCAAGGTCAGTTGGTTACGTCTGTCTGCTGTGGGCGGTCGGGTGGCCTAGTGGTTAAAGCGTTCACTCGTCACGCCAAAGACCCGGGTTCGATTCCCGACACGGGTACAATGTGTGAAGCCCATTTCTGGTGTCCCCCGCCGTTATTTTGCTGGAATATTGCTAAAAGCGGCGTAAAATCATACTCACTCACTCACTCAAGGAGAGGGGAAACTGTCCTGCACTCCGGTGGCACCCGTCCGAAATCTAACCCAACTAAATCCCTCAGGTTTAACGACCAAGTATTCTACTGCATATAAAATTGTTCATGACACCATTATGCGAACACCTGGTGTCATCACTATTTGATAGTGATTTATGAACAGGTGCTCATGACACAGTCGGAATCGTAAATCGACTCTGCTTTAAGCGGAGATTTCTTGGGGCTATGGGGAGGGTTTCATTGTTATTATTTCCAAAACATTTCATAGCCAAGGACATGTATGAAATCATTGCTAAAAGTTTTAATTTTGAAGTTTTTAAATTATCGAAATAAAACATAAACTTTATAAATCAGTTCAAAACATGTATCAGCAGCACATACTAGCCATGAATGCATAGAATTACGATGCACACTTCAATGTATTGTTTGGGGCACGGGTGGCCCAGCCGTCTAAGGCGCCGCGATTCGCTGTGCAGAGTTGCGTCCCTTGGACACGCCAGAAACCTATGATTATGGGTTCGAATCCCGGTTCGCCCCGATTATGTTTCTAGGTTTGTCAGCACCATACCCGTGCTCGTGGGTTTCACCGAAGTGGTAAACGTCTGAGACTTGCATCACTTCGGGCTTTCCTCCCACATTAAGCTGACACGCCGTGATATAACTTGAATACTGTTAAAAGCGGCGTTAAACCCAACTCACTCACTCACTCAATGTATTGTTTATTGATTGTTACTGGTTTGACCTACCTGTGTTCGCCGGGTGTATGACCACCTGACTGGGGTCGGAGAGGTTCTGCTTTGTCCCTCCTGCTACAGTGACCACGTGGCCAATAGCAGCGTTGACGTTGTTCCACGTGTAGGAGTAGACACCGCCAGGAACGTGAGAAGCATCTGTGTCATTGTCAATATGGACCCTGTATCTAACAATATCGCCATTCCTGTTTTCGTGTGGAATAGCCTACAAGAGAAGATTGTTGTAAATTATCAGTTATCGTTCATACAGAAGGACGGAAGTTATACAAGCTGCAACATTTCGGTTAGTTAAGTGTAAATAATAAAGGAGTAATCAAATGATTATGATAATTATGAAATCCATATGGTGGTTGTTTGCATTTGTAATTGTAAAATGAAAAAAGGTTTCTGTTGCTGTCTGAATGGTTGGAACACTTTGTTACTTGGAACCTAACATTCTTCATGACTTCCTGCGTACGAATACTTTTTTTGATAAGTACATTTTTTCTCATTCCCAAATTTGAATATTCGGCTCTCTCGAAAATTGGAACCTTGGAACCTGATTGATGCCGTCGGTTCCAAATATAATTTCCGGCATCAAATATTCAATAACACCCTTAACTTAAGTTGATCTTCTGGGGCTAGTGGTTAAAGCGTTCGCTCGTCACGCCAAAGACCCGGGTTCGATTCCTGACATAGGTACAATGTGTGAAGCCCATTTCTGGTGTCCCCCGCCGTGATATTGCTGGAATATTGCTAAAAGCGGCGTAAAACCATACTCACTCACTCACTAGGTCTAATACTGGTATACATGAATGTGCTTTCTAGAGAAACGTAATGGTTGTAAAAGCAACCTTCCAGTAAACTGTGAGTTGTGAGTCACTTGACCAACTGTAGCCTGCAGGTGACACCATGGGCGGGTGACTTGGTTCTGCAATACAAATGAATTCCTCATTATTAACATTTCATATTAACAATTTGGTTTTCTTTAGTGTAATCGTTCATGCTTTCATCGGATTCAAAATACAGTCGAACCCCGTTGTGTTGAACTCGTGGGGACCTGAAAAAAAGTTCGGGTTATACGGAGTTCGAGACATCAGGGGAACTTTATGTTTAATTTGGACACTTCGGTCTCTAAAATGAGTTCGAGACAAAAGGGAATTCGACACATCATAGTTCGACACAATGAGGTTCGACTGTACATAAAACTCAGCACAGCACAACAGTCCACGGCACCGTTCCACAAAGCGATCTTAGCGCTAAGACTGTCGTAGGTCTATGTTAAAGTATGGGAGTTACGATCGTCTTAGCGCTACGATCGCTTTGTGGAACAGGACCCAGGACATTAAGTATGACGTTAAAGGGACAGAAATTTCTTTTTTGCCAAATGATAATTTCAATAAAGCATTTTCAATCGTAGCTCTCGAAATGTTAAGGATCCCATTTTGTTCGAGGTAGCGAGGTCGGACCTACTGCTTTCCATTGTGCGTTGGTGGAGGGTGACAGCTCTGCTCCATACAGCATTGGTAATTCCATGCATGGCACTGATAGGCCTCGCTTCAAGGCAGATAGTGTAGTTTGTGTAAGGGTGTAGCATTGACAAACGGGCGTGTGTTTGGTTGGTTATGATCTGGAAAACATGTGTGGATTGAAGTCGCATTGTACAATCATTCAGTAACTAACTTAAAGGTTTACACTGTACTTTAGCTTTAATAAGAATATATCATTATTGCCAAAAGTTGCTACAACCCCCTTCATGGTACATAAGAATTCGTAACATTCTCCATAAAGGTAGGAAGACATGTGCATATTATCTGTTCTCAGTTTTGATTGGTCAAATAAACCGGTGTGACATCGTGTTATCTTTCTACATTCAATCCACAACTTACAATGAGTACATTTCTAGATACAAGAGATGGATTAATCTTCACACAAAGTTCTTTGTCATTTCAAATTTGCTCCATATATTTTGGTTTCACTGACCCCGGAAACGTTTCCTCCAGCAGTGACCGTAACCTTGTAGGAAGGTGTGTAGACGTCCTTCACCCTGGCTTGACCTCGAGGCTGGTGCCAGACAATGATCATCCATGTTGGACCTACGCTCTGGACACTGGCGCTAGACAGCCTTCTGTATGTGGCTTGAATAGAAGAAGCCGTTATTCTGTTTGCTTATATATAAGGTGAGGTGAAATGGGGTTTAACGTCGCGTTCAAGATTATTGGGCTCACACAGCGACATGCATGCAGGTGTGGGAGTTCCAAACTAATCACTGAGGTATCATGCCACAGATTTAGATGGATTCCCTACTCACACAGTATTCTGAAACCGAGCTACCCCGTACCTATGCCGAGCACTAGGCAGGGAAACAACAAGTACCATCTTGCAAAGTATGCGGAAGACTGGTCTGCTCGGAGTCAGTATACTGTGTCTGAGTGGGGCATCCATCTTTTTAAACTGCGGCATGGTATTTCTATCAAATCCGGTAAAGGTGCCGATTATTATACTGAGGAAAAAGTCTAGTAAATTTTACTCACTAATAACAGAAGGTCAGTAAACAGCGAATTTACTATTATGCCTGGTAGATAGCGCGAAAATGCTGAAGATTAGTATAATTCACTACTTAAACCGCACTGTAGAAAAATGTGAAAACACATACAAGACATGTTTTGAAATGTGTTACAATTCTAAGCGATATGCATACTTGGTGTATTCTATCTAAACACGTGGAAATGAAATGAGCTATCGCCTCATAGCCTAAACGCCACCTAAACACAACGTTCCCATAATCCAAACAGGTTAAGAATCTAAACACCTTTATTTTCCCTTTTAAAGCTTAAGAACAATGAGTGCATGAGTATGGTGTTACGCGGCAACATTTCAGCAATATCACGGCGGAGGACACCAGAAATGGGCTTCGCACATCATACGCATGTGGAAAATCGAACCCAGGTCTTCGGTGTGGCGAGCGAACGCTTTAACCACTAGGCTATCCCACCACCCCTGGAGGACAATGAAACTAAGCATTTAGGTCATCATGAACAAGCGTGACAGAATTTTAATTTGGAAAGACTGTTACGGTCCATCGTCCTAAACACTTTCACAAAGATCACTTTCAATCTTCAAAGTAATGATGTGTTGAGTTTTAAAGCGTGTCATAAAAATCCCAATATGATGGATAAGAACAGGAATCACAGTTACTTTAGCCCATGAGTATATGCAATCTCATTAAAATCAGATCTTAGTTCTCGCTACCGCTAAACAAAGATCTGAGGACATCCCATTACGGGTCACGTCAGAACGACCTTTCATCCAACCAATCAGAGCGTCGCTTACCAGATCAGGAAAGTGACAGTCGGAATGTGTTTTCTAATTATGCAACCTCGAAATATTTAACAGAGGGTATTCCGAACGACGGTTACGGGTTTTATGATTATATATATATACAATCTAGACCAACTATAAGCCATTCCAGAATGATCTTTTGATCAGTTTAAAAAGAATTAATCGAGAATACGTCAAAATATGTTACGAAGCGAATTCGCCAGTTTGAAACTTAGTGTCGTAAAGCTCGAGAAAGCTGCCTTCTGATTGGCTAATGTCGATTTCTTGTCAGTCATTTCATTGATCGGTCAAAGTTCGCGAAAGGTCGTTCTGACGTGATCCGTAAAGGGATGTCCTCAGATCTTTGTTTATCGGTAACGAAAACTAAGATCTGATTTTAATGAGATTGTAAGTATATGTTGTTAGCTATACTGACCGAACATGCTCCTTTCCACTGACACATTGTACTCGGTCACCCCATAGTCGTTGTGGCCGGTCAGCAGGATGTGGTAGGGGAGAGAGAGGAGGGTGCCGGTCCTGCAGATATACTGACTGTCAACACTCAACTCGCAGGAACTCTGGCACATCACATTCCGGCACAGACTGGCATTCTTCTTGGGAGTGTTGCTTTGAAACAGTGAGATTATTGTTTTACGCCACTTTAGAAATATTCTAGCAATATCATGGCGGTGGACACCAGAAATGGGCTTCATACATTGTACCCATGTGGGGAATCGAACCCGGGTCTTCTGTGTGACGAGCGAACACTTTAACCACTAAGCTACCCCACAGCCCATCTTAGAAACAGAAAATATCCTAGATCTGACAGGACCAACTTGCATGGCTGGGCCTTCCTACAATAAAACTGTTCATATCTTTAGGTTGTTTACAAATGAGTAAGTGAGTGAGTGAGTTGGTTTTAACACCGCTTTCAAATTATTCCAGTTATATCAAGGCGTGTTAGCGTGATGTGGGAGGAAAGTCCGAAGTGATGCAGGTCTCAGACGTTTTCCATTTTAGTGAAATCCACGAGCACGAGTATGGTACTAACAAACCTAGAAACATAATCGGGGCGAACCGGGATTCAAACCCACAATCAGGTTTCTGGCGTTCCAAAGGGACGCAACTCCGCGCAGTGAATTGCGGCACCTAAGACGGTTTACGATGAAAGAAATGTAGGTTGTAAATTCATTTGTGTACATATCTAAGTTATGTAGAGCATTGAAGACGTAACGTTTGAAAGTGTGTGAGTCCATGTATGTACATGTGTGTGTTCGTATGCCATGGCGGACACCGACATGGGGACTTCCTACATTGTATCTATAAGGGAATATACCAGGTTTAGCTGTTTAAGGAAACATACTCAAAAATGCCGTACTGCATTGTCCAAATGCTTCTGTCCGCATACCACGTGCAAGTTAGATTCTCATCAACGAACGCGTGGCAGGAGAAATTTTCGTACGCAGGAAGATCTGTAAACAAATTAATCAAAACATTAAATGTAGTTTGCCATATTAATTATGATTTCATATATTGACTTTCGCTTTTGTTTATTTGTTGTTTAACGCAACATTCAGCAATATTTCAGCTATATGACGGCGGTCTGTAAATAATCAAGTCTGGACCAGACGATCTCGTTAGTCGCCTCTTACGACAAGCGTAGTCTCCTTTCACCTCAAGCATGTGTTGCTGATGACGTATTCTACCCCGGATCTTCGCGGGTGAGATATGTTGTACGCCAACATAATCTAGTTCCTCCTAATTGGATGCAAACAATATGATTTCACAGTTGGTAATGTTGTCACTAAAACTTGACCAGACTGAGCATCGATGAGATGAGCATCGATCTACGCAATTGAGGTACGATGACAGGCATCAACCAAGTTAACGAACCTGACCACCCGATCCCCTCTTTCGACAAGCATAGTCGCCTGTTACGACAAGCATGGGTTGCTGAAGACCTATTCTACCCCGACAGTTGGTGTACAATAACTATACATATGACGGTCACACTTAGCATACAGCCCGGGATCTGGACAAATACCTCAATAATCTCATAACCGTCAACATCTATCCCTATACCTTAAACACGCCCACAACTATCCCTAACTCTTAAACACGCCCACAGCTATCTCTAACTCTTAAACACGCCCACAACTACCTCTAACTCTTAAACACGCCCACAACTATCTCTTACTCTTAAACACGCCCACAACTATCTCTTACTCTTAAACACGCCCACAACTATCTCTTACTCTTAAACACGCCCACAACTATCTCTTACTCTTAAACACGCCCACAACTATCTCTTACTCTTAAACACGCCCACAACTATCCCTATCTTAGTCATACTTAGCATACCGGCCGGGATTTGGACAAATACCTCAATAACCTCATAACCGTTAACATCTATCCCGATCCCTTAAACACGCCCACAAATATCCCTACCACTTAAACACGCCAACAGCTATCCCTATCTTAAACACGCCTATTACTATCACTATCTTTTAAACACGCCCATTACTAGCCCTTGACCACGCCCACAACCATCTCTATCAACTTACTGCCAGCCTCTATATTGACGGAGGATTGGTGACTGCCACTAAAGCTCGGCTCAGTCGGACCAAGACAATGGTCGACGCAACAAGCAAAGTTCATTGATTCATTGATGTGTGGTATGACACAGGATATGCTGGTGCTATTCAGAATGATAGTCTCGTAGTTGCCGTGGGAGATTACGAGATCAGAAGAAGTTCTATCTGATGACGTCACAGTGCACGTGATGTTAACTTCCGCTCCGGCCACGATGTAGTAGGCGCCGTTGGAATAACGTCCTGGGGATACAGCCATGACGACATCTGCTGAATCAAAGATTGCACTAGTAGTAGTAGTAGCAGTAGTAGTAGTAGTAGTAGTAGTGGTAGTGGTAGTGGTAGTGGTAGTTATTGCTTTGTTTGTTTGTTGTTTAACGCCACACTCAGTTGTATTCCAGCTTCATGATGGCGGTCTGTAAATAATCGAGTCTGGACAAGACAACCCAGTGATTGACATCATAAGCATCAATCTACGCGATTAGGATACGTTGACATGCATCCACCAAGTCAGGGAGCCTGACCACCCGATCCCGTTAGTCGCCTCTTGCGACAAGAAGGGGTTTTTGAAGATCAATGCTAACCCGGATCTTCATGGGTAGTAGTCTTAGTAGTAGTAGTAGTAGTAGTAGTAGTAGTAGTAGTAGTAGTAGTAGTGTAATACTAACCTGCATTCTCAGCGTCGCACGCAACGGGAAGGACCAGAAGAAAGGCTAGTATATTCAACAGCGTCCTCGTTGACATGGCAACACATTGCAACTTTGTCCTCCACACACACGACGTTTTAGTCTCCGGTTCAACCATCAAAATTCTAAAGATCAGTAAACCATTGTGCATATATATGTCAACATATCTAACCGCTTTATTGAGCCCTCTTCTCTGTCCGCGAAGGGCAAATCTGTCAAAGAAACGCTTCAAAAATGCGCAGTTAGTGACCAGACGAAATTGACGAATGTCTTGATATGAGATCATTTATTTAAATGGAAGCAGTTCGAGTGTGTTGCCAAAGACTCTAATGTGTCGACACCTCTAAGTCAATATGATATGAGCAGATCGTGTTTCGCCTGAATAGGATCATACAAGACAGTAACAGTCCATGTAGGTGATGGTTCCTATTAAGCTGTCTCATTGAGAGATAGTGAAACCAGTTGCAGATAGCTAAGCCATCACTTCTGATACGAACAAAAACTTAACGCTCGAGACTGTTGGACAATGAAGAAAACATAGAAATAATAATAGCATCACAAAGGACATTGAACAAAACATACTGAGAATACTGCGCACACAGGACAATGAACAAAACAATGTTGTGCATATATGTCGAAATACATACCTCAGAACCTACGTCGAACAGAAACTAGCATATATTTTTTTAAGTGTTCCTAAACTTCATGATAAGAGAGTATAACGCCTTCCTCTGTACAGGTAGGTCAAGAGTGCATTGTCAACGACGATGATAACACGTAGTTCCGAAGTTTGGGTTGGACTTATGATTGTTATGGCGTGATAACACCGTAGCCTGACGCCACATGAATCTTTGGGATACTTCCTTCTTGATAAAGGGTACACCGAGTGACGCAGTAGTCAGTGTGTGGGAGTGGGTGTATTGTTTCCTATATGAACACATGTATAGGTAGTCATCGAATACACTATCCAAGAGCTACCTTATCCCAAAATGAGGCTTACATAATCATGCTATTTTTAGCGTCACTGTTGTTTATGCATACGTCTTACCAATGCTGTGTGCAAAAAGAGAATTTCATTGTGACGTATTTAAGTTACATGTGACTTTAGGTCTTCCAGCCTTTGTGTATCGCTCGATGGCTTTCTTTAAATGTACCGAGCGCTATTCAACAACACGGGTTGTTCTGTAGAAGGTTGTGTGGCTGCGTCATGTCGACAGTCGTGTGGCTGCGTTCGATTCCCCCATGGGAACAATGTTTGAAGCCCATTTCCCAACCACAAAACCCACCCACTAGCTTACTCTCATATCTCTAAAGGGCGGTCGGGTAGCCTAGTGGTTAAAGCGTTCGCTCGTCACGCCGAAGACCCGGGATCGATTCCCGACATAGGTACAATGTGTGAAGCCCATTTCTGGTGTCCCCCGCCGTGATATTGCTGGAATATTGCTAAAAGCGGCGTAAAACCATACTCACCCACTCATATCCCTGAGGATAACAGGGCATAACAGGGTTACCAGCACCCCTTGTCACTCCTTCAGCAACCCATGCTGGTCGAAAGAGGCGACTGACGGGATCGGGTGGTCAGGCTCGCTGACTTGGTTGATGCATGTCATCTTATCCCAATTGCGAAGATCCATGCTCACGATGTCATCACTGGATTGTCTGGTCAAGACCGCCGTCATATAGCTAGAATATTGCGGCGCTAAACAACCAACCGACCGACCAACCCTTTGTCAGTCGTGCAGAGCAGGAGGCTCGGGTGGGGATATTATGTCACCCGTGTGACCCCAGGGAACGCCTGGGTCGATGCTTGTGCTGTCTTCCACTGATTTCCCGCAGTGACACAGCTGGAATGTTGCCGTCACGTAAACGACGTTAACTCACTCGCTCCAGTTCTGGTCGTAAGGAGGCGTCTAACGGGATCGGGTGGTAGGGCTCCCTGACTTGGTTGATTCATGTCATCGTATCCCAGTTGCGAAGATCGATGCTCGTGATGTCAATCACACGATTATCTGGTCTAGAATCGATTAATTACAAACCGCCGTCATATAGGTGGAATATTGCTGAGTAGGGCGTTAAACAACAAACACACAAACAAACACTCTAGTTTCAGCATGGAAAACGAAACCATACACCTATGTTCATTGGTGATATCATAAGTTGTGTTTTGAACCTCAAGTTTGCAGTAGTTTACTGAAGTAAATTTTGGATAACGTGTGTAATTTTTTGGTCAAATCCAATTTTGAAATGTGTACTTTTTTGGCCCGTCTATTTATGGTTTTGCTGAATCAGCCTGAGTTACATTAACAAAATGAAGATTGTAGCAACAAAACACATGACACTTTTCTGTTTAATTAAAGGCCAGAGACGTGATACCGGGAGTGCACTCGGACATTCCGTTTCCTCAAATTATTTCCTTTCTACGAATCATTTTGTTCTCGAGCAAATATTTCGTTCCCTCGAAATAACATTTCATTCCCTATTAATAGAATTACGTTCTCTTGAAATAACAATCGTCATCTCATCCAAAATGCGTGAAGTGCAAGCTTGCAAGACGTGATTTAGTAGCGACCTTAAATTAAGCATCAAATTGCCATGTTTCGTTTCCCCGAGTTATTATTTCCCTTCCTCGAAATCATTTCGTTTTTTCAACAATCCATTATTTCGTAACTTCGTAATAATGTTTCGTTCCCTCGAAATAACACTCGTCATCTCACCTGATGGTGCAGGATGTGCAAGTTTTCAATGGCTTTAGGACGCGATACAGTAATTGTCTAGTGTTATTTTCTAGTGAGTGTATTTTTTTATATTAAAATACATTCATCTCGAAATGTTTCTGTTGAAACAAATCTGATATAAAGTTATTCCACATTCTGTTCAAATATGGATGATGAAGTTTCTCTATTGGGACGGATTCTGGGTTAGAATTTGTCCCCAGCAGCCAAGTTTGGTCATAAGGTCAGACTGGGTGACTTGGTTGATTTCTTGTCATCGTTCCTCGCAAAGTGGGTCGTTACTTATAATATCAGTCACAGGTTGAAATATGGGGTATCCATTCAATTAGATATGATAAACGACAATTCCGGAATGTTTATCTTTTGATGAACTTTCTGTTGGATACTTCGGCCCCTTCTCTCAACAATGGAATACTGAAATACGTAAACAGTTGTCTATCAACGTCATGTCTACCTCGAGGTTATCAAACTGGTTCAAATAACTAAATACTAGTATGTGCAGTATTTACATCGACAGGCTGTTATCGGGTTGTTTACCGATCCAGGGCGCTGTTAAGACACGGGTTAGAATTGGTCTTCAGTAACCCCTACTTGTCGTAGGAGTAGTGGCAATACTCCAGGATTATCACGGCGGGGGGGCACCAGAAATGGGCTCCAAACATTGTACCCATGTCGGGAATCGAACCCGGTTCTTCGACATGACGAGCGAACGCTTTAACCACTAGGCTACCCCACCTCTCCCAATATATGTACTGTTAAAGTACGAACTTTTCAACATACAGATGTATGTGTTCATTATTTCAGATCCCAGATGTCTCCATTTCAAAGGAAAGAGTAACGGAAATTATAAAGTTGAAAAGTCGGGCTACTTTCTGTTTCTACGTCTTGTCGTTCCCCGACTGCGCGGATAGGAATTCACACCTTTGTCAGAAAGACGATTTTCTTCCAGAAAAAAAGTTCGAGGGCGCCTTCGTGTCGGTTGTGGCTTCCAGTCCTAGCCAATTATCCTAAAAAAAATGCTGAAATAGCGTCCGGGCGTGTTATATTAGAGTGAGTGAGTATGGTTTTACGCCGCTTTTAGCAATATTCCAGCAATATCACGGCGGGGCACACCAGAAATGGGCTTCACACATTGTACCCATGTCGGGAATCGAAACCGGGTCTTCGGCGTGACGGGCGAACGCTTTAACCACTAGGCTACCCGACCGCCCCTGTTATATTTGAAGAAAACAGTGTTCCGCGTCGATGTGCGCAGCTTTATGCCCGCCTTGGTATAATACAAAATGCGTGGCTATAATCGGACAAGGTTATTCTGACACTTCAATGCGTATTCACCATCATGAATGTCAGACTTGGCTTATTGATGTCGCCAGACATGGGTGTTAAACTGATTTATGTTGCATCATTATTTTGGATTTTGGATTGTTATTAATAAGACGTGCCAAATATGATGTACGAGTGGAGTATTTCAAAAGCAGCTTGTATTATTCCGGATTTATTCCGGTTTTTTTATAGTACTAACCCACTGAGATACCATGCCGCAGTCTAATATGGAATACCCCACTCAGTAGTGGTGGTGGTGGTGGTAATAGTAGTTGTATGCAGCAGCAGCAGCAGTAGTAGTAGTAGTAGTAGTAGTAGTGGTGGTGGTAGCAGCAGCAGCAACAACAACAGTAGTAGTAGTAGTAGTAGTGGTGGTGGTAGCAGCAGCAGCAACAACAACAACAGTAGTAGTAGTAGTAGTGGTGGTGGTGGTGGTGGTAGTAGTAGTTGTATGCAGCAGTAGTAGAAGTAGTAGTAGTAGCAGCAGCAGCAACAACAGTAGTAGTAGTAGTAGTAGTAGTAGTAGTAGTAGTAGTAGTAGTAGTGGTAGTAGTAGTAGTAGTAGTTGTATGCAGCAGCAGCAGCAGCAGCAGTAGTAGTAGTAGTAGTAGCAGCAGCAGCAACAACAGTAGTAGTAGTAGTAGTAGTAGTGGTGGTAGTAGTAGTAGTAGTAGTAGTTGTATGCAGCAGCAGCAGCAGCAGCAGCAGCAGTAGTAGTAGTAGTAGTAGTAGTAGTGGTAGCAGCAGCAGCAGCCATGAATTTAACATAGAAGAACTTTCATCTGAGCATACACTCACATGTAACAAATTCTAAGAACGGGGCGCGTAACGGGGAAACTAATGGTTCTAAATATATACTTCAACTGAGCGACCCTACCCAAGGCGGCATTTTAAAAAACTAAAAACAAACAATAAGAAAGATTATCGTGACAATATCACGGAGGAAGATGAATCTATGCCCCGGGGGGGGGGGGGGGGGGGGGGAGCAGACTGGGTATACTGATATATGGTTTAGCGATCTATTGTACTGTTTGAACCATTTGTCTTAACATTTGCCCTTTTCTACATTTTTTCGCACATTTTCTTGTGGGCGAGTTGAGATTTTACGCCACTTTGAACACCTGAAGTGTTGCATGTCTTTATCTTTCACTTTGGCGAAACCCACGAACATCGCTATGGTACAATAGGAAATCATTATCAGCGTGAATCAGAGGTTCGAACCTACGATCACGGCACCACGGCATGCCTTAGGGAGACAACGGATCAGCGAATCGTGGACTGGGAAAAACCGGTGATGGATAGCGTAAGCAACGGCCGGGTCACGTCATCGGGGCACGACACAGATAGTAGTAGTAGTAGTAGTAGTAGTAGTAGTAGTAGTAGTAGTAGTAGTAGTAGTAGTAGTAATAGTAGTAGTAGTAGTAGTAGTAGTAGTAGTGGAGGGGTGTTAACAATAGGAGTTAAATGTTTTATAAAAGTGGTGTCTCGGCATGGTTTGATCCGGTGTATCATGCATCCGTCTTCCCGGATTTTACGAATGTTACCAGCTAGTTACCTCCCTTGGAACATCAAGGTCGCTACAGATCAAACACAGATTCTACCGTACAACTGAAAATCGGGTAAAGATTCTTATGGTTTCCCACGTTGCCTGCAAACATGTAGTTACCAGCTCAGGGTCAGGTCGTCGGATGCTTTTCTTACTGGTTTTCGACGGAATTAACTCAATTTACAACGAAAACCTTGTCTCGGTCAGCTTGCGACAGCGATTCACCTGTCTAAATTTGTGTTCTGAATTTCAGTCACTTATCGGTTTGTCTTTAGATAGATTTATATAGGTAACCGTATCTCTGTGCTGCTTACTATAAACGATTTATTTGTTGCCACACAGAAATACGATCCTTTTTTCACTGATCCAAACTGCATCGCACTGTACATAGAGATGACGAATGCAACATGATTCACTTCGCAAAACATAAGTCTGGCCCCACAAGTCTTGCCTACAAAATATTTGAGTCATCTAGCCTATCCCATTTGCTTAGATCGATGCTCATGGTGTCATTCACTGAATTTTCTGGTCCAGGCTTGATTGTTTACAGACTGCCGTCATAAGGGCTGGAATATTGCTGAGTGTGGTGTTAGACTACAAACCAAAACTTATATTTGACTACCTTTAGAATACAGCTCCACATTTCTTTTTGTGAGGAAGATCTGTGCAATAGGTCACATGTCGCTAAATAAGCAACCAGTTTTTGTGAGAATACGTCACCACAAACTTGCAACCTTCAGATTATTAGCCCAACAGCTAACCTACTAAGTTAGGCCACACTGCAATTTACCTAGTTATGAAACTGAACGGAAAGGGTCGAATAGGTGACGGACAATAACGAGGGATATGGGTAGGCTCGTGTCTTTAATCTACAGACACCTACAAGTGATACCGATGCCATTTGGCACACTTGTCTCATTCCGTCATCTACAAGTTACCGAGTTAATGAGCAGATATGGCGCAACTGAAAACGGCTCAAGGCATCAGACATCACACACGGGTACACATGAATGACATGGTATTTAATAATTCTTCGGGTGATTTTTTGACAGAAAAGGGAACACTGTAATAGGGCTGGGATAAGTCAAAATCTACTACCCGGGTACCCACCCCCTACTACCCGACCCTACCCGGGTACCCGCTTTAGGCCTCAAGAGATAGGTACAAAATGTCAGATTGGGAATAGTTTGACCGTACTCCTGTCAAAATGTATTTAGATACAGGTTTAAAACGATCTGATCATGCATACACTGAAGTTTACTGAAGTTTTGTCTTAATGCAAACATATAATGTCAGAAGGAATGTGTGCATTGTCAGAAAGAAATGTGAACATTTTTCACTTATAGTGTAACCATAGAGTTCTAGATAATTTTTGCCATTAAACAACATAATCACTTGACTAACCACGGGTCCGGGTAGTCCTGTGGGTACCCAGGTCCTACTCAAGACCCACCTGACCCGTGTTACCCGTCCCAGCTCTATACTGTAAGGATAATGTTGATCAGAGTAAGGGACAAGGAAGACATATTCTAGTGATAAGGGTGAGTCGACTTTAGAATCATTACTGAACAATTGTAGCGGGGGGGGGGAGGTGGTTTGTTTGGATGTTCCAGGACAGATTCCTCTAGCTAAAATATTTTACACTTAACCATTTCATAATTTTCTTCTTAGCGTTTTTGTGTGAAGAATATTAGAAGCCGCTATAGAATCTATAATACCGGTAGCCACTTAAGGAGTACCTTATCAAAATGATCGTAAAGGTCATCCAAGGGCTAAGGATAGAGTTCAGGGTAACCTACCCTAACACAAATAACTAACCCTAATAATAAATAGACAATAAGTGAAGCCAGAGCCACAAAACCCAGAGACTACAAACTTGATTAATTGATTTATTGCTAAAGATGTCCAAGGGTAGAAAGTGTTCGGACCGGCAACATTTGGATGTGTGTAGTGTCAATATAACATATCTAGTAAACTGCATTTCTGTGCATAATAATGAAATTAATGAATAAAAAATAATAATATTCATTCCCATTAATAACCCTCATAGCCCAATGAATTAAGTTGAAACCGAAGTATAAGATAAATTAAAAATAAAAGTGTTTTCATAAACTAGCGCTTGCTATAAAATGTACTGCCACATGCTATATTTAGTAAACAAATATTCAAAACTCTTAACATCGCTGGGCTTATTCAATGACATTGCGTTGAGAGATGATAGAGTGAGAGGAGCTTGTGCACATTCGATGACCCAAGCAACTCTGTCGTTAGACTGATGTCACAGGTCATTGTTCTACCGGTATGTTTTGAAATATAATTTCACAAAAATGAGTCATAGGGTATTGTAACGTCTTTGTAAACTTTTGTGGTGCTGAGTTCTAAAGGTAGGCCCTTATATTTTAGATCGTGCAACAATATATTTACACATGTGAAGTTAACACGATAGGCCATTTGATGAGAGGCTGTTCAGATGACCGCAAAACTGACACTCATAATAAGCATATTAACAACACAATTTGACATTGATAAGGTTTTCACGAGACAGTATTACTGAAATGGCGGAAACACTGATGGACTAATTCCCAGAGCTCCAGATAAGCTTTTGGTGTTGTGTTTTTTTTACCCATGCATTTTAAAATCACTGCGTATCAGTAATTCTATCTGGGTATTCACATTTCTGTTACCCACTTGTTTTTACACATGTGGGTATTTAAGTTAAATATTTAAAAACACTATTCATCTAGTCCCTGCAAACTGGTGTTGTGTGGGTTCGAGAGCTTTATAGGACTCAAAAATACCACGATACTTCCACAAGAAAGTGTGATGGCAAATGATCATCGTGGAGTTTGGCAAGGTTGACGGAATGCCCGTTTATAATTTCAAAATAAGTTGCTGATTTGCCAATCGAATACGCAAGGTTACTTCACAACATTTTGATGATACGCACAAGCTTTATTTTTGTAGCGTATCTGTAATGTTCGTTGCGTATTTGATACGCTTGGATATTATTTTACTGCGTATTTCTGCATTTCTGATGCATATTTTACGCAGATACGCTGCTTATCTGGAGCTCTGAATTCCACATCGGTACGAATACATACAAAAGTGTTGCTTCTGGTCATTTTGACCCTTTTACCTTAAACATGGCATACATTGAGAATTTTTGCATGTCATCATATCCCAATGGCGTGGATCGATGCTGATGTCAAGCACTGGATTGTCTGGTCCAGACTCGAATATTTACAGACCGATGTCGTATAGCTGGAATATTGCTGAGTGCGGCTTTAGACACCAAAAACACAAACAAACAAGCATTAATCCTTACACCAAGACCACAATCTACTGAAATTGATGCCAAGATGTACGTTCACTCTGGTATACTCATTGACTTTGATATTTGGTTTGTCAGCTTATTAGTTTATTTACCGAAGTGGTAAATGTCAGCTATGAATGAATGTCAAGTGAGGCTTTCCTTTAAAGCTTTTTTTCCCTTTGAAAACAGTTGAAAGTGGGATTCGATCTGATTGACTGAAAAACGTTAAATCGGATTCAAAGCCCAGAAATCATACAGACTTGGATGCTATGTTGCTGGATAACGATCCTTTTTCTTGTGGGTCCCAAATTTGAAAAAAATTTGCCATTTGACTTGTCATGATGGGTACTACATTTATAAAGTAAAACGTTTAACATTTTGTCGGTCTCTGATATGCTTCAAGTAGAAATAGAGTGTTTCAGAAAATGACTGAAAATTTTTGTATTTTTACAATGTCAGTTTTCAGATTTTCAGATGTTATTAAGTATTTGAGGCACAGAAATTATAAAATTTGAAATGCCACTGGTTCACAAATGAAATTTTGTGGCATGGAATACTATATGAATGGATATTTCATATCAGGCAAAAAGAAAAACCTGTTGCTACATGATAATCATTATGTGCATTACCATGTTTCCAGAGTCCGGCATGGCGGTGCCAGTTTTTTATACACCACTCACCAAGGCCCAGTTGGGATTCTTCAGCCATCAGAAAGGACCATGTGCTAACTTTGAGATGGATTTCTTCCGCTGTGCAAGCAGAGTTGGTCAGACAAACTCTGTGACAGTTTGCCACAAGGAGCTGGATGACTTTGCTGAATGTACCATGAAGAAGAAGGAGGTGAGTCAGTACACAGCAGGGACATCATTCTGGACTTGGAGAACACCAGATTAAGACTTAGCTTATTGTGATTGCAAACCTGGGGATTCTTGTCTGGTGATTAGGAGCCGGTGATTAGGAGCCGGTGATTATGTGCAGTGAGGCAACTGAGTGATTTGCTCCTCACACCGAGGCCCAGTTTGAGTATGTGTAAAGATGTTTAGCTGTATACTTCAGAAGTGTGCTAAGAAGAAAACTTTTGTTCAATCTTCAAACTTGGTCTTTTACTCATAAGCTAGATAATTTTGCCCACTTCCTTACATTGTCCTGAGTCAACAGAGTTTCACGACTTCCCGTAATATAAGCCCTGGGTTCCCTTGTAGAATGACTTTTATATAACCTTATTATCTGTCAGGGGCTATGTGTCAGTCTAATACCCAAGGTATGAACCTACTACTTATATTGGGTCGGTCGGGTAGCCTAGTGGTTAAAGCATTAGCTCGTCATGCCGAAGACCCTGGTTCAATTCCTGACATGGGTACAATGTGTGAAGCCCATTTCGCCATGATATTGCTGGAATATTGCGAAAAGCGGCGTAAAACCATACTCACTCACTCACTACTACTTATATCCTACCACATCATAGTGTAATATGTTTCCATGTTGCACATCTGTTTCAGTTTGAGAGGTACGTGATCATGCAGAAGGAGAGGAAGAAGCAAGGTCGACCCTATGCTCCAACACCGGCTCCAGATGTAGCGGGAATAGTGAACTGATGCCCTTGTTAGCATGTTGAATGTTTGCCTGTTATATAGGATGTGTAAAATACTGGAAATAAATGAATACAAGACACAAACACAGTCATGGTCTTGATTGTAAACAAGTCATTTTATTTGTTCGGAATATACAGGGGCACGGGTGGCACAGTGGGCTAAGGTGTGACTTGCTGTCATGATGACAATCCCTGATATTTATCTGTACTTACTGTGTCTCCAAGGGTCACTAGTTGCCCAAATGATTATTACATTGAAAGTGAACAGCAAGCGATTTGGGACCAACCCTTTGATATTCTTGGGATTGTGTGTGGACACTAGATATTTTACATCTACAGATGCAAAAACAGAGATATATTTTTAAAATCTATGAGTATAAGTATTTTTTTAGAAACACCTTGTAACAGTGTACTTCTCATGGCAGACAATGTATTTTTTTCTTTCAAAATTCTGAAGCATCTGATTATTATATTTTCAATCATTGTCTGGGACAATACATTTTAATAAAACCTGCCCCTACCCACCTGAATATCAACTGGTCAATCCCTTAAGGCTTTGCAATTTGCAGTGCACTTGTGTTCCTTTAGTTGGCGTGCTATGATTGATAGTTTGTTTATTTGTTGTTTAACGTTGAACTCAGCGATATTCCAGCTATATGATGGTGGTCTGTAAATAATTGAATCTGGACCAGTCAATCCAGTGATTGACATCATGAGCATCTATCCCCGCAATTGGAATACGATGACATGCATGAACCAAGTCAGCGAGCCTGACCACCCGATCCCATTAGTCGACTCTTACAACAAGTATAGTCGCATATTACGTCAAGCATGGGTTGCTGAAGACCTACCTGTGATTCTAACCCAAATCATCACAGGTCTATGATCGATAGTTTGAATCTCAGATTCACAATGATAATGATCTGTCAGCACCATACCCGTGGCCATCGGTGTCATCAAAGTGGTAAAAATCTGAGACCTGCATCATTTCAAGCTTTACTTCCACAAACTGACACCCCCTGATATAACTGGAATACTGTTCAGAGTGGTGTTAAGCCAAGCTCGCTCCCAATAATTTGTCACCCAGGTTGTAAACATCTATGACCTGTGTGACTTTGGGATTTCTTCCGACAACAGACAAACTGAAATATACCCCATTCACTCATTAACTCACTCAATTTCACTCGCCCACTGCAGATGGGTAAGTGTATCAACTGACATTTGGTCCATATAAAGTAGATTAAAGTGTGGATTCCAGAGCAAGTTAATCAACCAACCGTCTTCGTTGGTGACAACCACAGAATGTCAAGACAGCTGCTGTTTCGTTTAGGGATAAACTTACAAATAAATAAACTTACTTTTAACTTATCTTATTCTTATTCACGAAATTAACTGCTAGATAAGATTCAGACTCGTGATATCAGCAGACCGCCATAATATCTTGCAAAGGGAGTCTTTGATAGGCATTTAGAAGTTAGAAAGACATCAGGGCTACATCTTCACCCTTCATCAGATGAATACTGTGAATCCAGTCCACACCAAACGCATGGGGACGTGTGTATGAGAGCCCATCTTCCCGGGGCAAGGGAATTAATTGACTATAAAACTCCAGTTTCCACCCTTTCCGAAACTAGGCTGGAATTTCTGAGTAATATTTTGGGTGGACTAACGAGTCTTTGCTTTGTCCAATCAAAATCGCATAAACTACTGTGCAGATTTCGGTCGATGGCAGGATTTGCAATGTATGTATCTAGAGATATTTTCCAAAACCTTTCACGTTTTTAATCAAGGTGCTCAGGTGGTTTAATGCACACTTGGCGAGGTATGACGTTTTGTTACAATCTAGATCCTGCTTATCGAACAGATCGTCATGGGCGCAGCCGTTTTGTTTGAAGCAAATACAAGTAATGTGATACCTGGAATCTGATTGGTCAGTAGGAGGGACATGGAAGGGACCTTACTCGTAATAGCACTTGGTGGCGCTACGATCGAGCAACAAAATTCAAGCCTAGTTCGGCAAGGGTGTGTTTTTTCCCTTCCCTAGAGAAGACAGACAGCCACGGTGCCACTGTAAAGACCAATATATTGGAGAGACTTCACGCCACCAGAGACCATATAATAGACGCCACATAGCCACCATAATAAAAGAACACAATACCTCTGTTGTCAAATCTGACATGAAATCTGCCGGTTCGGAACACCTCATCGACAATCCCAACGACGATATTTCCTGGCAGCAAACCAACATCAGTCACCGGAAAAGAGGAAACTTCGAGAAACTACCGAAATCCAAAGAAACAAGCCAGTTATATCAAAACAGACTAATTTTGAAGGCATCTACCTTCCCAGCGTGTTCTCCGCAGTGCTACAACCAATCATTACACGCGAACAGACATCTTGATTGTCCTATCGTTGTATGGTTACCATAGTCAGCTCTTTGTTTTCACACCCAGCCCCGTCACTAGACTTTCACTGTATCTCCTTGGTTTCTCTCACGTTAATCCCACGATTTCTCCCATTGGTTTCCTCGGGACCGACCGTTTGATTTTCAGGGAGAGCTGGCCTTTTTTCTACTACAAAACCAGATTCGTCTGAAGCATAATTATTTATTTCAAGATTTTTTGGGGACTGTTAACTTTCTATTTCGATAAAATCCCAGGGGTTACTGTACAAACATCTTATGTGAGTGAGTTGGGTTTAACGCCGCTTTTAACAGTATTACAGTTATATCGCGGCGTGTCAGCTTAATGTTGGAGGAAAGCCCGAAGTGATGCAGGTCTCAGACGTTTACCACTTCGGTGAAACCCACGAGCACGGGTATGGTGCTGACAAACCTAGAAACATAATCGGGGCGAACCGGGATTCGAACCCACAATCATAGGTTTCTGGCGTGCCCAAGGGACGCAACTCTGCACAACGAATCGCGGCGTCAAAGACGACTGGGTCACCCGTGCCCCCAACATCTTATGTGGAAACTGCGGCAAGAAGAAGGTTAGTCGGTCTTATCCGCAGAACCGCAAAAGAAAGTATGGCCTTACAACCAATGTACGCTTTTGGAGTTGGCTGATTGCGTCGCATGGCTTTGATCGTCAATCATGCAGTCAACAACTGCTTTGCTTCGCCCAGATTCTATTTTCCACAGGCCAGCGTTGTTCACAGACAGTGGCATAAAAGAAACTCTAGCTCACTCAGCTGTGTGGCGTGACCATCACAGGCTGTCCACCATGCATTGTTACTGGAGAACGATTGCTTGATGGCAACTATATATCGTATTCGACGTAATAAGCGCCCAGGGCGCTCTCAAAATTAGAAATAGGGGGCTCTTACTAGAATATTATTTTGGTGAAAAAAACTGAGTTGAAAGATAAATATCGTTATTTATGCTGAAATATTTATGTACGACAGATATATTTTTCCATAATTCAATTACCCATGATTAAGGGTGCATATAACACATGAGTGCTTATTATACACGAATAAATACGGCTTGTGTACATTGATCAATCGGAAGGGGTGCTAATTTGGATTGTTCACTAGCCAATATCTTAGCAAATGTCACCGTGGGCGCTTATTAGAGCGGGGCGCTTATTACGTCGAATACGGTACTCCGAAACGTTGTGTCCCTCGTGTTAAAGAAGTTGACACCCATACATTCTCTTCCCTATGTGTATCACTTCTAAATGTCACTCAAAGACAAGTTTATTCATTGTCAGTAGACGTGATTTTAATGTTCCTGTCTCTGAACAGCCGAGTGGTCAAGTGGATAGAGCGTCCGCCCGGAGAGCGGAAGGTCGGTGGTGCGATCCCCGGAAACGTCATACCAAGGGACGTTAAAATATGGTACTTGTTGTAACCCTGCCTGGCGCTAAAGCAAGGACTTGTCTGCTCGGAGTCAGTATACTGTGTCTGATTCTGGTATCCATGTTAAACTGCGGCATGGTATCTCATTGGGCTAGCAATTTAATTAAGACCGGATTAAATCCGGACATGTTAGTGCAAGCACACACACACACACACACACACACACACACACACACACATGTGCATGTATACATAAGTGCAGTAATCTTTAACGTGACCTTAAAAACTAACATAAAGTAGTAGAATTGAGACTTCAGCAATAATTTCAATCTTTTATAAAGATTAAAGTCCCCTAAACCTTTATAAGATCAGAGAACATTAAAAAAGAGGGATAACGAAGAGAGGCCATGGAAAGTCATGGTCTTTAGAGGAGGAATTTGGCCCAAACATAATTTATGCTGGACATCGTAGTTTATAAATCTCTTATATGATATATTAATAATTGATATAATAATAAACATAAACAAAAAAATACTTTTAACTTAGATGAATTCACAAAAGTAAGAGTTGGTGGGGGCTAATGAAATAAGAACTCATATCTGTTGACACCTTCGTTATCCTACCGAGAAAGAGAGCTCCGCGAACGGGGTATCGCTGTGAGGAGCTTGGGCACACTCATGACAAGGGGACATAAGTCTCCATATTCTCCAAAGGGAGGTAAGTGATGTTAGGATTTACGTACATTGGGTAAGGATGGCGGCGAGTTTGGAAAGAGAAGACGAAGACGATTCGGCAAGATTGTTGACATTTCTTGATGAGGCAGAGAAGCGAGTAGAGAGTTTCCGGACACAGGCTGTGTACCTGATGCAGGAGAAGGCGAGTCTGTTGACAGTCCTGCAACAACTGAAGGAAGAGAGTCTAAAATGTTCATTGTCCGAGGGTGAGATTCAAAGTAAAAGTTAAAAATGAAAGTAGCACTATGGTCAACTGTACGTTTGATTAGTCGATTAATTATGTCTATGATGTACAAAACGTATGAAGGATACAAGATCATAGTTGTGTATTTGTAACAAGTTGATGTGAAACTGGTAGGCAGAGCTGATAAGGGTATTGCCCAACTCTGTGCTGAGTGAAGCCATACCGTATTTTGAATCACTGATCACTAATTCAGAGCAGTTTATCGGGGATCATAAGTAATGATTTTCCTCTCAATACACAGATTAATGTGTGTATCACCGTCAGCAGATGCCAGAGGGGTTGTTGGGTATGTGATCTCATGACCACCTCATTATTGAACACCTATGTGTGGCCAGTAGTGGGCCATTTTTTGTTCCAGATGAATTAAAAATTGATATATGTTGAGTTTGTAGTGGCACTCAACATTCCAGGAACCCCCCCCCCCCCCCCCCCATGTTTGCAAGTGTATCGTCTTGTATCAATACTGATAAAATGTTTTGTGTATCATATTATCACATAAAAACTCGCTGTGCGCCAATGTTCGAATCACCAGTAGTTGTGACCATGGATATTGGGAACCAAAGAAACAAATATTATGTGATGAATGCTCTTCTGTTAGTTACATGGTAACTACTGAGGTCTACACAAATATGAACTTAATAAAGATTTGTGCAGATCTCAATAGTTTTTGTTCAAGGCCTAATGGCATGATTTTTGTGGTTATCCTAAGAACAAAATTATCTGGAACTTTCATGCAAATTGTTATGTCACTCAGTAATATAATGATCATTTTGTTTGCTTTGATTATATTGATGAAGGATACAATTGGTGTTGTTTATCAGGTGATCGCCAACAGTTCCTTGCCAACCTTGATCGCCTTCGGAAGAGATCAAAGTCGGCCACCATTGAGGTGAATACTGTCCGGAATGAAACACAAGAGGAAGCCTTGAGTAAGATCAATGACATTCTGGACAAGTTAAAGTGTGAGTTCAACGATCAACCTGAGAAGTGTTGGCAACAGCTTCAGATTTACTACAACACCTGTCTGGCAGAGAGCCGTGGGGCAGTGGACGCCCGCTTCCAGAACCTGGTTCTAGACTGCACCGTGGACGATCAGAAGAACCTCCGACGGAAACTGGACAGCTGGCTAAGGAACGAGGACATTATGTCAAATGGAAGATTATGACAGTTTGTGTGTCTCTGGATGATTAGAAGAAAATCCGTTGGAAACTGGACAACTGGCTTAGGAACCAAGACATATGTCAAATGAGAGACTATGACCGATGACAGTTTGTGTGTCTAGACAGTTTGTGTGTCTAGACACTGAACTAGGGCTGTAATGGCAAAATATTACATGTCTTATTGTGAGGTGATATGATACATGGAAACTGCACAGTTGCTATGTTTTGATGTTTCATCATCAGAGGTTGACCTGGAACAGAGGATTCAGACCGTGTGCACATCTGATACATATCAGCAGAAAAAAGGTTTTGTGAAATTAATCTTCATGCCATATTACATGTCACCCTTATATATTCTTGTTGCATGACCTCACAACACCAGTAGTGGATTATGGCAAGGAAGGTTGTGATGCACCTCTGTTCCTTAAATCATTACTCCCAATGCTGGACAAGTGGTTCAAGACATTTAGGAACTGTGTCCACCTGCAGTGATAGCAATGTGTCTGGATGAATCCTAACTGACAGCTTGAGTGTTCGATCACCACAAGAATGTTCCCGAGATGGTTATTCCATGAGAACTGTTCTGGAGACAGTTATAATGCTTAGTATTATCCATGTTATCCATATTGGTAACAGCTTGCCACCCTGTCTTGTGGTTGGAATCCGGTATGATAGCAGTGCTTAGGCGGTGCTGATATTATTTTGTAGTGCCTGTGCAGTTTGAAAACAAATATCCAGTGATCCATTTTGCATGTCATACCCATTGTTTCTTTTATCCTAACACTGCTTCACTGGTCTGTCGTCATGATTATGATACAGCTTGTCATGTGTTGGGGTTGGATTCAGGTGCAACTTTCTTAGACTCTTTCTGCTTCACTGGTCCGTATTCAGAGTATTTAGCTTTTTGTAAGATATGAATTTTAAGTCTAGATGATTTGATAAATTCCATACTTTCCATACTTTACTTTGGTTTATTCTGGGTGCACTTATGCTTTTTGACTATCACCCTTTATTCACACTTAACAATGGAAAGGCAGGGGGAAATCACCATATTCGCGTGAAACTGTAATCTTTACATGTGATGCGATTGCGTCTAAATGAACTTACCTATGGTTATTAAGAACTCAAAGGGACCACTGATTCTAGTTCGTCATTAACCGTAGTTCGTCATTATCATAGATACAGCATATATACAGCAAATGGACGGGCCCAAAAAAAAAGTTTGTTATGTCCGTCAGTATGTTATGAGTATGTTCGTTATAAATGTAGTATTTGTTTTCACCACATTTTCACAAAATGTTGCTCTTTCAGCATGTTCAGAAAACATCTAATATCTATATATTTGCTATGTGTTTTAACCAATGGAAAAGTAGGTGCACTATTTCATGTTTCCCTGATTTTGCAGAGACATTCCATCAATGATTCCATAGTTTCATTTCAAGGTCATCTCAAACTATCCTGTCTCCAACATTGGCCGACTGTTTAGTGTCACTCCATACAAAGGGGGCTCAAGACGAAACTGTAGTAGTGATTGGTGAATCAAGGGTATTTATCATAATGGAGATACAAGAACAAGTTTAAGCATGAACATAATGATAGTGTGGAGGTCTTTGGCATAACACTAAGGTTAGCAGTGAAATATTTATGGAGTCGCTAGATTCAAATAAAATGGCAGCAAACCTCAGGGACACTGGGAGACTCCTTGGTTTCAAGTACTGGAGATATAGTGAACTGGATAACTGAGGATGTGTTGCTAAAACTCGGAGATGAAGTACTTGTCAAGTAGTTTCCAGGATGGATCTGGTTGGAGCGGCAGGTCTACTGCGTCACTTTGTTTGGATCCATCTCGGCTAAACTTTAAGTAAGGTTTGTAAGCATGATCCAAAGATCAAACGTTGCTTTTGTTGACCATGTTAACAAAATCAAAGTGACAGCAAAGGGAGGGAACTCCCATTATGAACAAACATTTATCCGTTCCATAACCATGATAGCTTGAAATCAAAGAAGGGAGATAACTCTACACTCTCTACCAAATTTACACCTGGTCCTGTCAATAATGTGAAGATATATTCTTGTTGATTTTCATGTTTAACATTTAATGAGTAGGATGAGAAATACATGTTTTTGTTCTGACCATTTGATTATATGCAATCACAGCATGATCGCTCTGTCTCACTCCTGTGTATTGAAAAAACAAATACTTGTGTTTCAGGTAACCAGACTGATCCATTGTTTTATTTGCAACCTAAATGTCTTTATCACAGTTTGAAATGTTAACATTCTCAAAAGTCAGATGTTTCTGCATAATGTAATTGCTATAGCTATTTTGACCCACAAATTTTAGACTGCAACTAACATCAGTTCAGTTCGATTCAAGCCATCTGGGTTACATATTTTTAATCATTGTTAAAAAGACTAATAATGGCCTGGTGTGACTGTAAGTGGCTTTTGCTAACATTTAGATCAGATTGCAGCAAAAGTAAGTGACAGAGGTCTGCTGGTCTCTCTCTCTCTCTGTGTGGGGTGGGGGTGGGGGGGATTGTGTATTGAGATTAGATATTTTTTCAGCCACACCTATAAAAACAGGTTTTTAAAAAAATTAAAACAATGAGCCTTAAATTTTTAAAAAAGAATAACATTTAAAAACAAACTGAGCCTGAATTTTTTAAAAAGGATAACACATTTTATATAAGAATAACACAGAATATAATGTGTTAGTAAAAATTTCTTGACACAAGATGTTTGATTTGAGCTGTGATTGAGAGTTGATGGAATAATTTCATAAAATATTTCATTTCTTCTGATTTGTTACATAGATACTCGATGATGTGAATCCCAGTATTGAAAACTGGTATAACTAGGAATTGTTCCTCTGAAAAGCTGCCTGTTGTTGATTTCTCTCTTCCTCAGAGGGACTTAGGTTTCGAAATAGGTCCCTACAACCTATGCTGGTCCTAAGGTGACCAAAGGGATGAGGTGATCAGGCTAGCAGGTGATGGTGTGGGTCGTTGCTCATAATATCAATCACTAGATTGTCCTATCCAGATTTGTTTATTTGGAGGCAAATGTCAAAAAGCTGGAATATTGCTGAGTGTGGCATTACTCAGCAAACAACAAACTTGATTTCTCTTGGTGGAATTGATTCCAAATCTGGTTCCAGGAGATCTACACACTCCTTGCTGGATGAATGGGTCTCTGGGGTCAGTGTGAGAACCGGAAAACACAGGGAAAGAATGGCACAAAATAACTTGACAGCTTTTTTACCTAGAATATTGATAGATGTCATTTTGATGTTGACACATTTTTTTTAAAGTATTTGGGAGGGTTTGTTATTTCATGTTGAATAGTGTTGACCTAACCTAATGTCACCATCAACATTCACATCACACAGCACCACACAACACACCCATTTTCAAATCTCATATGGACCACAATTACATTAACAAATAAGTAGCACCTTTGTGTGTTTTTTACATTCATCAACCTTATAAATACATTTCAAGACTAGTCCAGAAGACTAGTGTGAACCTTATTTCACAGGCCCTAGTGTAGATTGTAGCTAGTCCGGCAAGAATGAGACAGACATGTTTACTATGTTCACATTTTCTTTCCCTTATACCAGTGTTCGAAATACCTGCCTGCCCGACTGTCCGAGACGGGTTGATTTCAACTCGGGCTGCCAGATTTTCAAATCCCCCTGCCCGACGGTCGGGTTATATTTCATATGTGACAATATTCGAAATATTTCCCGATGATAATCATTAATTCACATGTAAAGATGAATGATAAAATGTAACCAAAAAGAAATCCCGTTAGCTTATCCTGAGAAACATATGATTATAGTGGGCAGGCAGGTTTTGGTCAGGGCTGGCAAGTATTTCAGCTAGCCAGTCCTGTGGTCTGGGTGAAATTTTTGGGAGTTTCATACCCTGCTTATACATGTAGTCAGATCCAGTTTGAAGCAAAATAGAAGCTTTGGCAGCTGGTGCAGAATTATAGATCTTATTGCTGCTGGTCAATGAGGACCACCATCAGTGGAGTTGTCCTCAGCACATTTTAGTAGTCTCAGGCTTGCAAATTGTGTTAATTTGAACTTGAAGGCTGTATAGCAAAATCCATCAATATCTCCCCACTCTGATTGTCTGATTTGAAATCCATCCTCTCCTTCCCTCCCTAAAGTTAAGAAAAACCCTTAAAGAAATCCTCAAATTATCTCAGCATGGGTGGAATCATTATTATCATTATTACTAAATCTCAAACTGACAACTCATGCTGCAAAGCTGCATTTCTGGGAAATGACTTACAGTAAAAGGAATGCCAATGGATCTTAAGTGTCAATTCATAATAAAATTAGTAAGTAGAGCCAAGGACAGTAATTAATACCTAGAACCATCAGTACATCAAATGTAGTCAGTTATACTTTCATGTTCATAGATCATGAAAATAGTCTTTGAGATTTGACCACCCTTTTACCCCCAAACTGACAAACAAAGGATTAGAATTACTTCGGGCTGCATTACAGGATGGATAGAATTTGGACTTCATTACTTTCAGCAGATTATGAACATGGTGTTGATACTTTATTGTTTTCAATTTGTTTTGTTGTAAATGGATTTATAATGTTGCAGTCTTCATGGCAATTTTTTTTAATAAAACACATCAATAAATAAAATGGCCTGTTTTTATTCCCCTATGTTGACAGAGCTTCAACAACGTATTGAACTGTTTATCAGTATGTGAGGGACCTGCTTTATCAAGCCGTTTTGAAAATTACGTAATTGTTTTTAAATGGCGTGGAACATTGTTTATGAAGTCAATCACTGGTTTGTCTGGTCCTGACTCGATTATTTGCATGATGCCGTTCGACAGCTGGAACATTGCGGCGTTGAACAACACATTGAGAACACGCAATCAAGCATGTCACTCGAATGTGTGGTTGTGGCGACTGAAGAAGCGCTCGTAAAATATAATAGTTCAAGCCGGGATACAAGTCCAAGTGTCAACATTTTGTCACCTATACTGTATTTGTGGTTATAATTTGCTTCTGGAACAATATACCTGAGAGAGTTGGTTTCACTAATTTGACGAAACCCACAAGGGCGGATATGGTACTAACAAACCATGAATTATATACATGTGTACACTCAACTGCAAAAGAAACGCAAGTTCAAAAATGATTTAAATGTTATAAGAGTAGCCATTCCATGTTGTCTGATTTGATTGGAAAATGCTGAAATGACGAAAGATAAACTAATGTCATGCAATTTGGTGTTCATTCCACAAATGCAAACAAACAACCACAACGAAGCCTGCAGTCGTGTCCCGGGGTAAAAGTTTCACATTTTCACTCCAGGGTGTCCTTTATAAAGGTGGGTGTCAACCACCGGTTTAATACCAGTATTCACACCGCGAGGACTTGACGCTATCGTTGCCTATACAGCCGCCTGTGCAAAGAGGAATGGTCCTTGGAGTCGACCCGTGAAGATCCGGGTTAGAATAGGTCTTCAGCAACCCATGTTTGCCGTAAAAGGCGACTATGCTTGTCGTAAGAGGTGACTAACAGGATCGGGTGGTCAGGCTTGCTGACTTGGTTGATGCATGTCATCGATCCCAATGGCGTAGATCGATGCTCATGATGTGGATCACTGGATTGTCTGGTGCAGACACGACTATTTACAGACCATCGTCATATAGCTGTAATATTGCTGATTGCGGCGTTAAACAACACACAAACAAAACGTTTGCAGTCTGGTAATTCTTCAACTGCTGTAGCCAGACAGTTAGGTGTCATCTCACCACTACCACAAGACTTGCACAACGTCACCAGCAAACAGGGTCCATTGCTGATCGACCAGGTTCTGCCGACCCAGAGTTACACCACCTACACAAGATCGTTTAATAATGGTCACCCATCTCAGGAACAGAACTCAAGCAGCAACAAGAACAGCAGCTCTGGTTCAGGGACCAAGGGGAACAGTATCTGCAGACACGATTCGACGACGTCTCCGCGCTGCTCAACTCCACTGTCGACGTCTGTATGTGGGACCAGTTTTAACACAACACCGTCAGCGACGATTACACTGGGCCCGGCAACATTAACGCTACAATCTATCTCATGCTGACGTGTTAGGCGTCGCCATAATAAACGCCTTGCTAATTGCTCTGTCATTCAGGCTGATGGAGAGGTGGAAGTTGTTATGGTTTGGGGAGCTTTCATCTACAGTAAAGTACGGTTATAACGAACTCAAAGGGACTACTAATTTTAGTTCGTTATAACCGTAGTTCGTTATAAGCATATATACAGCATAATACAGCTAATTATCGGGACCAAAAAAGTAGTTCGTTATATCCGTCAGTTCGTTATAAGCGAGTTCGTTATAACCGTAGTTTACTGTACAACAATATGTCCCCAAGTCCTCATTGCTGCTAAGGTCGTCTTTGAGACACTTGTTAACTTCAAGAAGTGACATTGTACCGTCTGTGTACCGGCCATAGGCGGCTAACTCGCTACTGAGGGTACGAAGAGTATCTATCTGCTAACTTCTATATTCCTTTCTTAACCCCCCTTAATTCCAGTGTAACAGAGACCGCCTCCGTGGTCTTGTGGTAGAGCGTCCGCCCGGAGAACGGAAGGTCCAGGGTTCGATCCCGGGCCGCGTCATACCAAAAGACGTTAAAAGATGGTACTTGTTGTTACCCTGTCTGGCGCTCGGCATTAAGGGGCTTAAACAAGGACTGGTCGGCTCGGAGTCAGTATACTGTGTCTGAGTGGGGTATTCATGTTAAACTGCAGCATGGCATCTCAGTGAGCTAGCACTATAAATCGGCATCAGTCCGGACTAGTACAAGCAGCCACACAAAACACACACACATACATGCACGTCGCTATATAAGTGCAATAATCTTGGACGCGACGTTAAACCCCATTTCACCTCACCTCACCAGTGTAACAGCCATCTTCGGCTCTTAAACTCACAGATCTCTCTTTAAAGGGGAAGTGTACACGCAAAAATCACTTTCTTTCTTTTTCTAAACAAAACGCAATTTTAGAATTAGTTAGTATCTGTGTTTGAAAATATACGCTCATTTTTTTTCACAGTGAAAGTAGGAAGCTCACAATAGTGTTAAAATGATATGCCGTTATGAGGCCTTCGTTTGACGAGCGAAATAGGCCTGAGTTATCCCCCTTAGATTATGACGTAATTGGTGCCAATTCAACTGGGTCCCTGTCTATTCTCAACGCAAAAGATATCAAGGACCAGTTTGCGGTAAAACAACATGGTCTACGACACACTCCGGCGCAGTGGTGACTCAGCATAACACAATTCTGGCTGGCATCTGAGACGCTAGAATCACAAAACTGTACCTACACCACGTGAAGCGGCTCTAACAAAGCATGATGACGTCATAATGTTTATCAATTGGCACCAGTGACGTCATATTGCAAGGGGCATAAGCCATGGTGTTTTTGTTATGGAAATAGAACACTTGGTAAATGTGAAAAATATAAATCGTTTTAATGCCAAAAATATGTTAATTAAATATGATGTTTTTATATTTTTGTCTATGACACTTCTATGTTAACACTTTTAATGTGGAAAAAGTACAAGAAAAATTGGTTCATTTCCGTGTGAACTTGCCCTTTAAGAAACGTGTGATTTGACACCATTGCGTTTGTCTTTTTTCTTCCCCAACTTGAAAATATGTCAGACTTGCGTTTCTTTTGCTGTTCAATATATTGCCAGGGCAAATCGGTGATTCCACGATGACAAGATGCTGACACACCTAAGTCATTCCGTTCTGCCCATCGAATGCCGCGCCTTATAGGACTTGGTGCGGAATTGCTACAAGACATTATAAGTCGTCTCAAAATAACGGATTCTTATTTCATGGCTTTACCCTGAACATGACAGAGTTTTACTGTAATCGTTGTCTTTGGTTTGTATTATTGAGCCTTTGAGTTTGTTTGAATCCTGCTTTGAACAGTATCTCGATTATATCACGGCGTGTTTGATTAATTTTGAGGAACACGAAGTGATGCAGGTCTCAGACGTTTACCATGACAACAGTGCTGGTCTTCACAAACAGGATCATAATCAGTTGATTCTAACCGACGACCACCTGGCACGTCTATGGGACGCAACTATGCATAGCGCATTAGATGCCTTAAATGACTGGGACAGCCGTGCTTCCTTTTGTATACAAAAGACAGACAGACAGACAGATTTATTTGACCCATTGTACAAAATACATTTACATTTTATTTATCTAAGAGTTACCTAATTGATACTTCTTTTTTTGTGTGTGTTGAGAACACGTACATTAGAAATTTTGCAAAATTTATCATTGCATCGTTGTTGGATACTTGACAGAGTCTTTCTAAACAAAAATAATTATGATTAACTGTCTTTGGGATATACATTTCCCGACGACTTGCATAAAGAGAACAGTTGTATATAACATGAAGTTCATCCTCAATTACATGACAGTGTTTACATAAGACGGCATCCTCCTCAATATTAGCAACACCCCTACGTATAAGTTGAATACCAAGAGTATTCTGTCCACATCTAAATTTGGTTATTAGCCTTCTATATTCACAATGCTTAATATTTGATAAATGTTTTTCACAAACGATATTAGATTTATGTAGTTTATAGAATGAGAGGGTCTTGCTGCCTAGAGATGCATGCCAATCTTGAAACGAACAATCTTTAACTCTTTCGCTGAACATATGTACAAATAATTCTGCATTGCCAACGCCTTGTGCAGCCCATACTTCCCCAAAACCATAATGACTTAGCAAAAGACTGATATGCGATGCCCAGTTAGGACGTTTTCTATCAGCAATGGATAATAACATTTTATAACACTGGTATGGGTATCTGTTTGGACTCATTTGCAAAATCTTAAACCAATATTTAATGCATTTTACATAATAAATAGTATGAAGTGGATACCTACCACATTCACCATAGGCTACTGCATTTGCAGTCCTGTAGCCCGTGTGAAGTAAAAAATTACAAAATTTGCGGTGAACAATTTCAACCGTATACAAAAGCAATGCATATAAAACAACGATGGTAATGCTTATATAAGTTGATGATTGTTACAGACAAATCTACCCCCATGATATGTATAGTCAAGCTGGTTGACTGGTTAGATCGTCTCCGTGGTGTAGTGGTAGAGCGTCCGCCCGGAGAGCGGAAGGTCCGGGATTCGATCCCCGGCCGCGTCATAACCAAAGACGTTAAAAGATGGTACTTGCTGTTACCCTGTCTGGCGCTCGACATTTAAGGGCTAAAACAAGGACTGGTCGGCTCGGAGTCAGTATACTGTGTCTGAGTGGGGTATTCATGTTAAACTGCGGCATGGTATCTCAGTGTGCTAGCACTATAAATTGGCATCAGTCCGGACTAGTACAAGTAGCCACACACACACGTGCATGCACGTCGCTATATAAGTGCAATAATCTTGGACGCGACGTTAAACCCAATTTCACCTCACCTTAACTGGTTACCTATCCGCTTGTCCTCCGCTTTCCGGTATAATTAAAGGTAACCATTGTACTGCGTTCACGCATGGCCTCTTTAAACTCAAGACCCTCCGGCTTTTTCAGATATACGTGTTTCCGACCAGCTGATCACTGGACGGACATTTAACCACAGACCG